CAACGAGGCTATGAACGGATGCCTTCGACACCTGGCCAACGGGGACATCGACGATGGGACCCGCATCAAGGCGATCGACTCGATCGACCCATCGGTTATGACATTGCTAGCTCACAGGTACGATGATGTGCACATGACATACAGCAATGCCAACCGGAAGGTTGTGTCGAAATTCCTTCACGCGGCTATCAACACGCAGCTGTTGGCCCAGCGTATCAGATACGCTCTCCCAGCCATTGGGAGGGTTGAGCCCTACGTGGCAGGTGAACCGGTCGACCCGGTGCTCTTTGGCTGGCCAACATGCTTGAAGCTGGCCAAAGCGCTCCACGAGTACGCGGCGATGGAAGAGAAGCCCGACTGGTCCCACGACCAGGAGGGCGACGAAATCGACGCCGATGTGGCCGCATGGATGAAGGTGGCGGAGGATGAGTCCTATAACGCCATAACCATCGACATGCGGGGGGCAAAGGTCGAGGAATCCGACATCGTGCTTGAAGCCGTCGACAAAGGTGAGGAAAACTCCGACGACGAGCTTGACCGAGTGGAACTCGCGATGTCCCACTACATCGACAGTACGGCGGAGAAACACGGCTTGTCCAAGGTCCCCGACGACGAGGACAAAGACAAGTGGCTCTTGCTGGGCGATGACACCCATGACTTTGGATGGGATGCGACGAATCTGCCCCCAGGAGTGCACCGTGCTGCGCCGGAAGGCCAGTCGATTATCATCGCTGAAGGTGACTTGTTCGATCAGGAAACGGTGGTATCATTGGAGATGGTGTCAGAAGCTGATGATTCCGAGGCGGCAGGGATGAGTTCCATGATCACCGCGGAGTCGGTCACTTTTGAGTCCGTGACGGAGGGCACCAGCACATCCAAGCAACCGCCAACACCGCCGCCGTCAAGGCGCGGATCTGCTGCCAAGAACGCTGTGGGGGAACCCCAGTCGACTGGTTTCATTGAGATTGGAGACGAGTCGGACCCCACGGCTGCAGGCTCGACCGACAAGCCCCAGGTGAAGGCGATGCCGAGGATTGCAAAGGCCAAGGCGCCGCCAGGCAACGCCGAGGGGGAACCCCGGTCGAAAAAGCAGAAGGACCCTAAGCAAGAGAAGATCTTCTGGGAAGACTGGGCAAAGACCCGGAAGATCAATACCAACGTCCCGGCCGAGGAGCAGAGCGAGTGGCTTGAGGTCGAGGACATGGGGCACGTCCCGAAGGTCAACATGGACCGCGACTACCGACTGGTCGCAATTTCGAAGAAAATGTCCTATTTCCTCCGGGGAGGGGCATTCAAGGACGGCAAGCCCCACCCGCCGTTTCGCGGAGTTGACCTGTCGGTGGAATTCGATGCGCTGGTTAGGCATCTGAATGACCGGATTGCCAATGTCATGCCTTGGGAGGTGATGATCTGCATCCGGAACAATAACACCCGCAGATTCCGCGTGATGGTTGGGCCCCCTCCAATGGGGGAAGCATCCTGGAAAGGATTGCCGTATCAGGCTTTGCGAGTGAGGGCCGTGCAAGGACACCACAACGAGCTCACAAGGAAATACACTGAGCAGGCGATCCTGACAAGTTTGTATTCCTTCGACGAGGAGTTCACCGCGGCGAAATACCTTGACGGCCACTACCCGAGGGCTGTGCGGCATCCGGAACTTACTGACCTGTGGCGCCGAGGCTTTCCGGCAGTCCTTTACCACACCTGTGACCTCAGGTCGGCCGAGAGTATCCTCAAGTTCGGCCTGGTCCCGGGGGGCTATCCGAAGTCGACTGGCAGAGCCCACGTCTACTTCAACCCCACGCCACCCTGGGAGGCGCAGATGAGGAAGCTGGCAGGAACGCGAGCCGGAAGGCCCGTCACGATTGCTTTTGATACTGAGCTCATGATGCAAGACGGCATTCGACTCTTCACGAGCGATGAGGCGTTTATGTCTGCAGATTGGATTGGAAATGCCTATATTATTTACGCTTTCCATACCCGCAAGAATGAGTTCCTCTACTTCAATCGTGCGTACCCTGAGCTTCGCAAAAGGTATCGCGAGGCGCTGACAACCGAGCTTGCGCCTGGGCCTCAGGACGTCAATCCGAACTTCTTCAGAAGTGAAAACACCCTGACCGCAGAGAAGGCCTGGAGGCATTGGCGGACCGTCGTTGAGGGGACGAAGAACGGCAAATTGCTTCCGGGTGCCGTGACCGAGATTGAGACGGTCGATGAGCTCGCTCCCCGGAAGGGGAAGTCGAATGAGAGACCTGCAGGCCCGACATATCAGGTTGCGCCTGCAACCCTTCGACGGGTGCCCGAGCTCTCCAGGGGAGAGAAAGGGCATGGTCGCGGCTGGAACAACCTCCGGAACCGCTACCAGAGTGAGCCACGTTGGGAGGACCTCCTCTTCACGACCATGATGAAGGTACCGGTCGTGAAATGCTGGAACAGGAGGTGCAACAACCAACAGATCGACGGCTACCTGTTGTGTCAGGAGTGCCGGTCAGACATGGTGTCTTGGACGGACGCACGCATCGCCACTGAGGTGGTGCGCCTCGAGCACACAGCATCCCTCCAGGGCATGGTTTTCTACCTGGAGGATTTGCAAGGCGGCGGAGGGAAGTGGATCCGTTCCAAGCATCACTTCAAGGAAGGCGAGAAGCGGGGAGGAATCTCCGTCGAAGCGTCACTCAGGAAGACGGCCAAAACGCACCTAACCAAGGCGTTGGGGATGGGGTGCGAGAAGGTATCTGACCGGCTCTCGGTCGATCCATTCTACGCATACAACTGCGCCACGCAAGGGCTAACCCCAGAGAGCCTTGACTTCCTTGGCCGGATTGCCCGAGCGGTTGTCGCTGACCCAGGCCGTACCAGGGAGGAACGCGAGCGAGGCGGATCCCAGAACACCGGAACGAAGTTGGTGTTCATCCCCAGCCTCAACAAACGCGATCCCCATGAGTTGAACGTTTCCACGGAGGCTTTCATTGCACACCATGCGAGGTTTTACAGCATCATGCAGTTTGCGGTCATGTGTGCCTATCGCTTCATTCCGGGCAACCAGGTGCCGATTATCATCGGGCACAGCGGTTCATACGTCCCGGAAGGGAACGTCGAAAAGATTGTGGAGGTCATGGTCAGTTTCATTCGGGCCTCCTGGATCAAGTTCGACTCCCAGGGCACCATCAGCACCGGTGAACTCGAAATCCCGCGGTTTTCCTCCGGCCGGACGCGGACCTATCCTGTTGAGGCGAGGAACACCCAGTGGAGGGCGATCACCCGGTCCATTCGCCCCGAGCCCTACACCAAAGGAAAGGGCAAGGGCAAAGGCAAGAGCACGGGGCGTCAGGACTGGAGCTCTTGGTACGGGTGGTCCTCTGGATGGCATCAATGGCGTCAGGGCCCGTGGGGATGGTGAGCGCCCGCATCAATTACAAAAGTTTGCTTATGTTGCGGTAACCATTTCAATTTCATTGGTGATGTCATGTTCAAAACTATTATCTTTCATCCATTGATGCCGCAACATTAGCAGTGCCAAGTTTGCACGCCCGGCGGAAGCTGTGGTCGTGAGATCACCTTCGCTGATGGCAACAGTGTGAATTCAGTTTCAAGCATTCACATGGAAATCACATGTGTTTTGCCCGACGGAAGTCGTGGTCGGCCGATTCGGATGGCACGCTCCTGCAAAAGTCCAAATGCATCGCAGTTGCAGCGACCATTGACGCATGAGGCCTCATATCACCATGGCTTGCCACCTATCCCACTGAGGCTCTACGTCTTCACTGCCTTGACCTCAGAGGACTTTGCTTCAGGCATGGGGGGGAGAAACGTGTACAAAGTACTGTTCTCACCAACGCACCTCTGCAAAGCGGGGGGTGTTGATAGGTAATGGCATACTGACATGACAATGGCTCAAGAAAAACAAGCTGCTGCCCGTGCTGACTTTTAGGTAGATCCCACCTTTCAACAAAATCACCTTTAGTGCTGCACAAAGCTGGTGAATGCATTGTGGAAACACCTGACGGCACTGGCGTGATGGGTTTCCGCCAGCAATGGATTGACATTCTCTGGTTTCATTGCGGTCGAGGACAGGCCAGAGACGCGTTGCTTGCGCAAGAGTGAGGCGGACAAGCTGGGTGGAGTCACGTTGCTACTAGCGCAGGGCTGGCAACTCGCCCAGCCCCCGAATTGCAGAAGAACTTCGTGAGGGGGCTGCAGTAGTTGAATCTGAGTCCCGCCCAGCCGGTCCTTCGGAACGTGGCAGCAGGGGCGAGTCTCGACGTGCGCACTGAGCAGGGTGGTCCTTCTAGTTCCTGTTTGGTCGTGTAAGCAGGTGCCTTTTGGTTGCCAAGTCCAACAGGGTCTTGTTCCGATCGCTGGCCATTTTGGCATTTGGGGTGGTGTTCTGTTTGTCATTGGTCTTTCCAACCAAGCTTTTCCGATCAAGGGAACCCAAGGTTCACAAATAGGTGTGTCTCTTTTTGATGGTACTCTGTTTGGTTGGTTTTACAGGGAAACGAACAGGAAACCAACCATTTTGGTTCAACTTGCACACGCTTCTTGTAACGTTACCATCTGAAAGCCATCAGAACCCGCATAGACGCAACGGGCAGTCTCAGCTCAGCCAGATGGGATATCGAAGGCAGAATGCTTTCATAAATTTGGGCAGGTCATTTGAATGCCAGGTTTTGATTGAGATAGTGAGGGTAGTAAAATGTTCGATCCTTGGGTTGAATGGCCACGATTTTGAGATACCAAGGTTCTTCGGACAAATCCTTGGGTTTCTTTTAGCTTTTAGGAGTCGCCTTTCTGCGACCACAACTACCTCATCCCAAAGTTGTGGACTGAGCATTTTATGTCACTGGGCCCCCCTGCCCAAGAAAACCATAGCGAGAATTGCGTGACCACAACTACCTCCTCCCTGGCGCGTCGGGTTCCTTTATGGTTTCCTTTTAACCCAAGCACGAAGGGCACAAAGGGCACAAAGGGCACCCGCCTACCGCCTGCGAGACGAGCAGGTGGCGGACCAGGCCTTGCTGAGCCAGTACCAGGCCAAGCGCGCCGGCGGCCCCAGTGGCGGAGGCGTCGGTGACGGCGTGATTCCCTAAAAGAGACGAGCCGCCCATCTTAAACTTTTTGTGTTCCCCTTTTTTTTCAACCCCAACACGGGGTATGTCCAAACAAGGCGCGCCACTCACCATCGCCGAGAGCCTAGGTGGCAGCGCGCCGAGCGGGCTCCACCTATGCCTATGACCTGCCGCTGGGCCCAGAAAGAGTTTGGGACTTTGGGCTCCATGGGAGTCCTTTTAGTTGTTTTGCTAGAAAAATAGATGGGCCTGGTTTACCTGGTGGTTTAATCCCATCTATTTCCCCTAAAAGGACACCTATGTATTCGGCTCGGTGTCCGCGTTTTGCGGATCCCCGCCTCCTTAAAACTCACTCACTCCAGTTCTCTGTGGGCGCAGCCGATTTATTGTGGGGGGGGGGGGGCGGATCAGGCCCCACCTCCTTAGAAATGGAATTGGGGGAGGAGGGTTGTGCGTGGTCCCTCTTAAGGTAGGGAGGATGGATTTTTGGGGGACTCACTCCCCGAGTTCCGCTTCCTCCCACCAATCAACGTGGAACTTGACAGGGAAATGGCCCGGTTAAACGGAAAATTGTCTTCCAAAATGGTCCAAAACCACGACATCCCCGAAACGTCAGGTTGGCCATTGAGTGATAAACAAGAAGTTTGGTGACGTTTTTGGGGCCACCCACTTGATCGGAAGTGAATGGAGGCTGGGTGCCCGTTTTTTTTTAGGCTGGTTCAGAACCCAGAGAGGGGGCAAACCACCACTCAGGGACCCCTCACGCAGGTTCGAGCTAAGAATCGTGTTCCGACTGCTTGCGCAGGAGAGTCTGCAGCATCGGAAAGGAACCCAGTTGGGCTTGTCTTTTTTTAGGGGAACCCTGTTTTGGTGCCCAGCCTTTGCCATCCCTCGTGTCAAAGGTGCTTTTATGTGTATGCTCTGCTGTACTACTAGAATATGTTCCTTTTTTCCAGGGAACTTAAGCAAATGGAAGGGTGGTTGTCTTTCATGACAGGAGACCGCTCACCACACCTGGCAGTTTTCTGCCAGTTACCGCTTTGTTGTGTTGCCCGTTTCCATGAGGAGGGGCACTCATGGCTGGCAAATGTGGGCGCCTTAGGGCAAGCTTGCTGGTTCCCATCCATCCCCTTAGTTTATTTGAGGGTCTAGTGGGGGTTTCCATTTAACCACCTTTTAGCGGGGATCTGAGAACAGCTGCTTTAAGCCACAGCCAAACGCGGGCGTCCTAGGGCAAACCTGTATAGACGTCAAAGAGTGAATAGGAAATGCCTCACAAGGGATGTTCTCGGGGCTTTGTTCCCAAATCGATCGATTTGGACCCGACAAATCGATGGATCGATGGTGAAAAAGGGTTTACTTGGGACATGGGAGGAACCCCAATTTTCTGGGTGTCTGACTCATCGAAGACAAAGGCGGCCTTCAAGATCGGTGGTTCGCCGTTGATTCCCTTGCAAGAAACGGAGGCACTCGCAAATTGCAGACGCAGCTGCCCAGCTGACCTTTCCAAAGGGAATCTTCGAAACCGCCTCTTTTCAGCCTGTTCGGGTCAATATTCAGCCGCCAGGAATTGGACCGGAGGCTTTAGTAAGTGATCGGGCAACCCATTTTTTTTCGTTTAAGAAAAAACAAAATGGCACCAAACACACCAGTGCCCTTTTCGGCGGATTTGTCCAGGCCGGGCATGCTGCAGCTGACGCTGACCATGAAGTGGATCGCCGCCGGCAGCGCGCCTGGGCCACGGATGGCCAGTGGACTTTGTCGGAGGAGTTTTTCGCGGGTTTCGCAAGGCCCCAGACTCGAAAACACGGGGAGGTTCGCTCAAAGAACGGGTTCCCAAAAGTCAAACACTTCCTGAGTTCCAGGACTTGAACACTTTTTGGGAGGACCATTTGCACTTGGTATATAGAAAGTTCGGACTTTTTTGGGCCAATCCACTCAGGAAGTCAGAATTAGGGACCGATTCCTCCAGGTTGGTGTCCTTCTGGTTGCCCTTTCATTTAAAGAGAAGGATTCCCCCATCGTGAAACAGACCCAAATGGTGGCAGATCGAACCCTTTTGGGTTTGCAATGGCTTATTTTAGACCAGGCAATTTATGTGGATCGTTTGTTTTTTAGGATACGGATCCCCCAAAATAGCTGGGCTTTCCTTTTGGCGTTCCTTTAAAACCGCCAAAATCGGGGTACCCAAAAGACAGACGCACCCATGGTGAATCTTTGATTTTCAGGTCCTTTGGGCAGGGTAAATTGGGGCCGAGGGTGGCGATCGGCGGGTGTTGGTGCTTGCGGTGAAAGGCTTAAACATGGAATGGCTGGGGAAGACCCCCTTCAATTTCCATTTGGGCGTTCGTTTTTTGGGACTTGGTACCCTTTCAGGTTGGTTCAAGGGGAAGCCAGATGGAAACCCCACTCATTTTGTTGTCCCCCCCCTTTTAGGATGCCTTTCATGTGTATCATGGCTTCGGTACATCACACCCGTCAGGCTTAGGCGTCGCAACCCATGCCCCGTGGATGTTTCGAGGAAGTCGCCGTGTAAACCGAGCTGCCACCAGACGGGCAGACGGGTCCATGTTGAAGGCGGGAAAGGAAACAAGGAGCCAAGGAAACCCGAGATGTAGGGAACTTGGGGAAACCCGCGGCGCATAAAAACCAAGTAAAATGTGAAGTCGAAACATGTTTAACCACTTCACTGTTGGTGGGGGAGGCTTTTTTTTCGTCTTTTTTGTTTCTCCGTTTTTTTTTCTCCTCATTTTTCTTCTTTTCATTTTTAATAGGGCTGGAAAAAAACGTTCAGTGTGTTGCCAAGCCATGGCCGTTTGGCTAACGCCATAGAACGGCCCACCTCTTCCGGTTTGGAACGCCGCGCAGCCAGCCAGGTCCAAGCGAACCAGCCTCGCTCCTGAGGAAGGCCGGTGGGATCACTCGGGGTTTGTCCAAGCACTTCTGGTGATACAAGTTCGAATCTCCCCCCTGAAAAATGGAGAGTTAGTCTCCCCCCTGAAAAATGGGGGATTAGTCTCCCCCCTGAAAAATGGAGGGGGGGGGTTAGTCTTTGGGAGGCCCTTTTTAGTTGTGTCACAGATTCGTGGATTCCATTTCAACCACAGCCCTGGGAACCTGCGAAATTCCATGCAACGGACCACCGTTCAGAAACCCTACTGTGGATGGACGAAATCCTGCACTACCCAAACAACTCTAGAATGATGATTCCCTTGTAAATACCAACAACAAATGGTTTCCCATGGTCTCAAAGTGGTGCAGGATTTCGTCCAACCACAGTAGAATGATTCGATTCCCCAACGTAAATACACCAACAAACGTTATGGTTTCAACCATAGCTTCATTTTGTGGGGCAGGACTGCGCAACCATCCACAGTACCTCTGGTTGGTCAGTAAGGGGTGTCCCATTTTAGCTCGGAAATGATGTCTTCACTTCTTGTTTGGCAAGCAGCACCTGGTGGGTCAACAGTAGGCGCCCCAAACAGAACCCTGGTAAATGGAACCAAAAACTAAAACCTGCGGCCCGGTGGTTTAGTTTTGACCCATGCCTACCGGAGTGTTGATTAGGATTAGTCCAGGGTCAACATTAGTTGTGGTGCGGGTCTTGCCTTTTTGGGGCCCTTCTGAGGCACTCGTGCACAAAGTCAGACCAGTTTTAGACCATTGCGAACATCGCCCTTCTCCAAATGCATTCGAGGCCATGTTTACCAATCACTTCATAGGGGCGGGGGCGAGGGGGGGGGGGGTGCACGTCTCAGCACAACGATCCTCCTTGTCTCCTTTGTTGCAGTTTTCTACAACAGCCATTTGTGTATGTCTTTTTGTCGGAGATCCCCCAAAATGGTTGTTGTCCTCTTGGTTTCCCTTCAAACCCACCAAACATGGACGAAATCCTGCACCACCTAAGAAACCCTGGAATGATGATTCCCTTGTAAATACCAACAAACAAGGTTTCTCATGGTTTCAAGATGTTGCAGGATTTCGTCCGTCCACAGTATACCCTCCAAACCAGACATACCCCTTTGGGCCTATCTCCATCTTCCCGTCCACCCAGGGGCCGCCAATGCCTTTGGCGCGCGGCGCCGCAGCCCCTCGCCCCGGTCGCTGCGCGCCTGGCCTCGTTTTCTGGTTGTTTTTTTCGCCGTTCGAGTAGATGTTGCAACCAAGAGCCCTAAAAACACCGGTGCCCTAAATGAAGGAGCTTGCCAAATAAACTGTCCATCATAATGGGGGTGGGGTCGGGTGAGCCTTCATTGGTGGTTTGGATTGGCGGTCTGGATTTGGATTTGAACCTGTGGTTCTGTGTGGCGGGTAAAGGGGAAACCCTCCTCAACCACCAAACCACCAATGCAAACTGCTAATTCGTGGGAAGCTGAGGAAGGGGGGTGGGCAACCTAAAGAGCCACCCACCGGCGCGCGGGACCCAAAACTGCTTTTGGGACTGATTCTGGGCATGGGAAAAGCAGGTGTTGGGGTGCTGGCAGTTTGTGTGTGTGTGTGTGTGTGTTTTTGGTGTCCCTGCTTAAAAAAAAAAAAAACGAAAACGATTGAAACAACAAGTGTGCAGTAGAACTTGTGGCGTTCCTATCATAAACGCCATCCCATCTGAGTGGCGCCCTTCTGGGCCTTTCCGGCCTTTGGCCTGGGGAGAGCTACTTGGATGTGCAATCAAGATGGTACCGTGGATGGACAAAATCCTGCACCAGGTTGAAACCATGGGAAAGCAGAACGTTTGTTGGCATTTGCAGGGGAATCATCCATTCAGGGTTTCTTCGGTGGTGCAGGATTTCGTCCATCCACAGTGGGTAGGTTATAACCATGGTCATGTCTTGTGCAACTGGGTTGGCCCCTCTACGATTCTAGCCTACTTACCTGACGCTGGTTGAACATCCAAACGTTGGCATGATTAAGTCATTGGCAGTCTGGCTGAATTCGTCAAGTTGTATGGCCCCCTCTCAAGGGACTCGTTTCGGCGGTACGTGCCGCGCAGGGGGCAAAATGGACGCCATTCTTGTTTGACAACCCCCCCCCCCCCGCCTTGTTGGGGACATGGGAATGCGAGGTGCAACCACAGAAAGCAGTGGGAAAATTGACCGCGCCATTTTCCCATGTTCATTTTGGGGAGCAAGTAAGTCTGTCCGTTGCTGAGGGTTGTCACATGTTGTCATACATTTGATCTCTTTTGGTGCTTCCATCACTTCTCGCAGAACTCGAAGGCAGGGCCCTGCTCTTTGGGGCTTGCTCAAAGAATGAATTGGTTAATCTCTCAAGGGTCTCCTCTCCCAGACTGGATGATTTCCCTTCCTTTTCCCTTGAGCCCAAACCTCCACCAAGAAAGGCACCACGTTCCCCTCCCCCACGTCCTTTCCTCAAGATGAACTTGCTGGTGCTCAGTGGGGAATGATCGAGTCCGGGTTTGGACATGAAGCGTTTTGGGATTCCGGGGATTGTTTTTGTCAGGATCATGCCATTTCTCATTCCCTGCCTATCGAACCAGCAAGTGAGCAAGCAAAGCAACCTTCAAGAGCCTGACCATGACCATTCTTATATACTTGGGCAAATGAACCCTGAGAGGTCTGCTGATGCTCGTACCCGTCTCCCCAAGAAGGGGGGATATTAGACCCCTTAGAAAGTGCCTGCACCTTCAAAGGACCGATTTCTTTCTGCCTTTGTACCACTTTTCTGGGGTCATTTCGGCAGACAAAAAATCGGATCGGTCCATCATTTTTTTTTGGGTGGGTTGGAAACCAGGGAACCTGTATCACTCTCCCACCTTAAATGGGTTGGTGTTACTTATGGCTTCCCTTTCAACCAACCAACAAACAGGGAAGCCAAGGAACCACCATCTTGGATTGGCTTTCTTCTCGCCAGGCGGGGTGCTCCCACGGTGCCCTCGCAGGCGAGTTGCTTGCTGTCTGGTCTCGATGGAGAATCCATGGTTTTCCTTCTTTGAAACCACGAAGAAGGCAGCCTCAACAAGAAGACAGACCCATGTGGCCATGGATTTTAACCGGAAACCACCTCAAAACTTGGTGCATTGAGCAAACATCCGGTTCAACTTAGGTTTTTAGTGGTTTTTTGTCGGTTTAGTAGTAGTTTCCAGTTTCCACTAAACCGCTAAAAGTTCAGCTGCAGCCCAGAAAGTGGCAGGTGGAGAATCATGCACTGGCTGGCTGGTTGGTTGGACGGGACGAGCAAACGAGCAGGACTCGGCTATCTATTCTACCACGGGCTTACTGGCGGAACGCCTGAGATCTACTGGAACGTTGTGCCAGCCTGGTCCCCAGAAAAGCCAGGAAAAGCTCCGCACCCACAAGTACATCCACATTAGGTACTTGTTTCTTGTGGTTGAGCACTCTCATCCAGATTTCAGGCAACCCTCAGTTGCTGGTTTGGATCGGCGGTTTGGGGATTTGCCCTGGTTGTTGTACAAATGGGAAATCACCCCTAACCTAACCGCCAATCCGAACCGCCAATTGAGCCACAAGCAAAACCCGGGTGGATGAAGGTTTGTAAGCAACAAATCCCAACCATCAACGGGTGCCGCCTTGTTAACTCTTTACATGGTTCTAGGCCATTTTACTACCGATCGGTTCTGCTTGCGACTTTCATCCCGCCCCAAAATTATGGAACGGGGGGCAGGTACAAGGGGGTGGGTAGTTGAGAGCCCGTTTCGGGTTCCTTAGGCTTGCCTAGGGATCCAAATATGGTTCCTTAGGGAGCCTTAGGGAACCCCTTCAACCACACCTCCCCCCCTAAGGACTCCATGCAGGCATACACCACAAGTCGCCTCAAACAACACACAATAATGATTCACTTGGAGGGAAGCTGCACATGTTTTTCGATGACTCACTTGGAGGAACACCTGGCCTAGCCCCACAGACGCCGGGCGTCGGCGCGCAGGTGCCGGAGTCCATGCCCAAGGACCTCCTCACCGCCCGGGAGCTGGCCGGAACCTCGAGAGGACTCTGGGAAGAAACCCCGCCTTGGGCCGGGTTCGCTTTTGTTTTCCTCCTTTTTTGTTTTTTTTTCTTCTGCGTGTTTTTTCTTTTTCTTCGTCTTCTTCTTCTTTTTTTGTTTTGTCTCTTATTTTTGTATATATATATATATTATAGAAAATCATGGTTTTTTGGGATTTCAGTTGATTGTTTGTTTCCATGATGCTCCGTTTTTCGTGTTTTGCCTGTTTTCCCCTTGCTAGTTGTTTTATCCGAAACATCTCTCGCCTGCAGCTGGACCGGCCATGTCGTCCTGAGACCAGCCGTCCGGAGGGCGCCGACCTCACACTCGGGGTAGCCCCCTTTCATTTGGGAGCCGCGGAATTTTGGGGTTGGTTTCCCTTTTTTTCGTGGGTTTCAAAGGGAGACCAACGGGAAAAGCAAGATGCATTTCTCCGGGGGCCAAAGCCAAAAAAACCGCCACCCAGTTGACAGGAAGCGGGTTTTTGTGGTTGCACGTTTTGAAGGGCTTCTGGCGGGAAGGCGGCTAGAACGGCTTCATACAAATGCTAAGCAACACGATGTAGCTTTTGAACCAACTAGCACGTAGAACACAGCTTTTGTTTGTAATTTCTATCCAGCATGTAGCTTCTCTGGAACTCGATGGTGCGACGGAGGCTTCGGCTTTCATCCTATGAGGAGGTTTGCAGAACATCACGTATTGTGGAGCCAGATTGAGCGAATGAGTTTCCCTCGAGGGAATTGACAATGGCATGTTGGCATGGTCTCCCTGTCATAGCATTCGTGTCTTGAAGGGCTTCAGACTCGCGGCATCCAACTTGCTCTACATGAGCCACAAAACCCGAGTAGATTGTGGTTAAAAAGGAATACTTCCAACCATAAGTGGCCTTTTTACTTCCTTACGTGGTTCGGGGTCCTGGCGATTTTGATACCGATCGGTTTTGATTGTGACTCACATGTTGGGGTGGTTTAAAATTGGATCACCTGAAGGGTATGCGAGCTCACCATGATGAAGGTCCTGCAGTTGGGGATACTTCAGCTTTGAAGTTATGGTACCATTTGCAGGTACTGTGGATGGACGATATCCGTTTCGCACCACTGTTCAGAAACGCTGGAATGACCCTGTAAATACCAAGAAACGTCGCCTTACCAAAAGACACACCCGAGAAAGGTCACCTGTGGTACAAGTGGGGAAGGGGCTCGGCGGTCCTTTCCCCCGGATAGGTCGGATCGGTTCCACGAACTCAATGAATAGGAGGGCTCAACAGAGAAGGTGTGTGGCTTGAACTCGGTGCGACATTCCGGACGAAAAGCAGAACCTTTTGGGAGCGCACATGTTCTGAAGTGATCTCCCGACATTTTAGGGGATGAAGCTTTCTTTGGCGAAGGCCCCAGGCTTGGGTTGGCCCCTCAGACCCATTGCCTCCGAAGAGACCCTTCTTGGTCCCTAAAGGCGAGCGGTTTTGGTTTCAGGTTGGCAGTTCCCAGAATAGTAGCTTCACTGTTGTTGGCATGTCTCTAGGATTTTCGTCTTTTTGGTTCTGTTCATTTTTTGTGGGGGACTGCAAACAAAGCCATATTTATGACTAACATACCAAAATTTGTAAAGAGTAGGCAACCAGGCTTTTCAGTGTTTTGTTTCTCGTTTCCCTGCGGTTTTTGCATGTGGGCTTGGCTTGGCCGCCTGTAAGTGGAAGCACTGGGCCGCACCGACTTCTTCTGTGAGGTGATGGACTGGTCCAAGATGGAGCTCTCCGAAACGGAGCGCCCGGAAGGTGCGCGTGGTGCGGCGGAAGGAGTGCGAGTGAAGGGAGGTGCCTCAATGGCTGCGTCTTTTGAAGGCTACCCCCTTTTTTTTTGGTTGTGTGTGTGTGATTTGCCGAGGGTACCCAACTTTTGGGCAAGTGTGGTTTTAGATGGAGTTCGCCCAATTTTGGAGGTGGCCTTGAGTTGCTAAGGGCGTGTTTGCAACTCGAAGAGCCCTTCTGGTGGAGTGTCTGAAATGGAAAACTAGCAAACCCATGAACCATTTCAGATTGGTTGCCTGTTTCCCTTTGCGTTTGGCAAGTATCGGAAGCATGTGTGAGTGTGTTTTCGATTTGGACATGCTCCATTGCAAATGTTGAATTGCTGGGCTGGATGGACAGTAGATAGACATGCCTTTCATGGAAAATGGATGGAGTTCGGATCTTTTCATATGACCAGTAGGAGCCGTCAAATACGGTTGTGAAGGGGATGACGTGAGGCAGTCAATATTGACCCTGCCAGTTGGGTAACTCTTGGAACCTGTGAATTGGGGGCACCATGAAATTTGTGCTGACCTTGGCTCCTTTTTGGAAAGAACGCTTGAGTTCTTGAGTTTGCAAGACACACAACTACGGCACCTAGCGCCTCCCGCACATTTTAGCGGCTGCGAACTTCTCATGCACTTTCAAAGCACCGCCACCAGAATGATCTATCCGCAAGAGCACCGAGAGAGCGCATTTATGCCGCTCAGCACTTCCAGGCTTGCTTTGCTTGCTGAACAGCAAAGTTGTCACGCTTGCACAAGCTCCGGCAAATGCTGCGATAGTAGTATGTAGCCAGTCAAGAATGCCTCTCTCCTGAATGAATCAATGTGACCATGAAAAGCTGGTCCTTGATACGTCTCTAAGGTTTTCATCTATGGTGTAAATACGGTGGTTTCCCAGACTCTCAAGGGACTCCGTGCGGGGCCCCGTGGTTGCCTATGTGGCCTCAGCGCAGCATGTACATTTAAAAAGCCTTCCGGAAGCAAGTGCTGCCTGCATGCGGACGCCTGCACTACTCATGTTGTGGGCAGAACCCCTCCCCCCCTCCCCCCCGGCCTGTGGAGCCAACGTGTTGGTGCAATCGCCCAATGGTTTCATTTCGCGGTGCAAGACTCTCGGATTTTGCGTCCATCCGCACTATTACGCAGCGAAACCCCAACCGAAGACAATAGGATCTTGGAGTACATCTCTTTTGGGCAGAGAAACCTCAGACCAACAAACTTTATGTTTTCAGCCATGGATTCACAGTGGTGCGAGAATTTCAAGACCATCCACCGTAGGGTTTCCCTGAACTTCCGGCTTCTTGCCAGTTGGGTTTCGAACTTTCTTGGCGAATGGGAATCATCCTGCCCATGCAAGGGGCTGTTGCCCAAAAAAGTTATGGAGCCAAACAAACAGCCCTCAAAGTACCCTTTTTGTTTCACGGCGTCTTGGAGTAGACGGCGCCTCAAACCTGGAGGCAGCAACGACCAGGGTATGCTGGCGTGGAGGATCACCATGAAGACCCCGGAGTACCCAGCAGGCGTTTGGGTCCGCGGTTTTGGGCGGGGGGCATTTGGATGAAATGAGAAGCGATGGGCCAAGGGCTGGGCTTTGTCGGTTTGAGATGGGTGGCTCGTCTTTTGCTCTTTCTTAAAGGGACCCCTGCCAAAAAATTGTGGGTTTCCCCTTTTTTGGTTTCCCTTTATAAAAAACCACCCAAAAAAAGAAAGCATCCAACAAAAAAACAATGAGCCACCCATCTCCAGCTGGGGGCTCCTTCCGAAACTTGAGAGGTTCCTCCTGAGGGGTGTTCGCCATGTCCTTTGGATCGGTTAGTTTGGTTGGACATAGAATGGTTCCACCTGTTTAGATGGTTGTCTGCCATTCATTACCAGGGAAAACCCCTCGAGGTTACCAGAAGGACACCTATGGCGTTTCCTCGTCTTTGGTGAATCACAGATGAGATGGGCTGGCTGATGAGCTGGCTCGGAAAACCTGCGCGTGAGACTGTGGGAAGCGAACCGCGCTCGATCGCTGGGAGCGCGGCCTTCTTGAAAGGAAGGCAACTGGACCAGGAGTTGAGGCTTCCGTTTTGCGACGAATCTATTGGGGTGTTTTCAATTTTTGAGGCTACCCCCTTTTTGGTGGGTGTAATTCGGGGAGCCAAAAGTTGAAACCTCCATTTCTGGAGGTTTTTAAGAAACAAATTGCACATTTGCACCAGAAAAGTCTCTCTGGTCTCTTGGCTTGGGACATTTCTCGGAAGCCCAGAGCCAACCGAGCCATTTGCTCTTTGGCTGCTCGTAGCTGTGGATGGTTGCGAAGTCCATTTCGCACCATGAAATGAAGCCAAGGGGACGAAACCCGTTTCTTGGTATGTACGGGGAATCGAACTAGGGTTTCTGAATGGTGGTACGTTGCATGGATTTTCCAACCATCCACAGCTATGATCAACCAGGGTTTCTTGACGGTGGTGCGTTGCATGGACTTCGATACCATCCACTGCCATGATCAACCAGGCTTCTGATCGGTGGTGCGTTGCGTGGATTTCGTCCATCATGAACACCAATTGGTGGTTCGCGTTGTTTTTGAATTGAACGGGGCCCTGGTTGTTGTAGAGGATAGATAGAGTTTCCCACCCCCCTAGCCACCAAACCACCGGGCTCCGAACCACCAATCAGAGGGGAAGTGAACATTGATGCTTTAGATTGGTTCTTGTAGAGGGTAAATGTTTCCCCATTTCATCGCCAAACCACCGATGCGGCTCCAAGTCACCCAAACACGAGGGAAGTTGAAGCACGCCTTTTTGAGCCGTCAGGCCGCGACATCATTCTGCTGGCGAACGACGTGACCTTCCAGGCTGGCTCGAAGTCGGGCAGGGATGCCAGCTGGCTGGTGGCTCGGGGGGAATTTGGATCAGCGTCGTTTTCGTGCTTGGGAGCTCGGTTTGGTTTGGTTCGGGGTTTGGTTTGGTTCGGAGTTTGGTGTTTGGGTGGTGGAAGGAAAAACCCATCCCTCCACAAGATTCAGGGACCTTCGAATGACTCCAGGCTCCAAACCATTTCAGGTCAACCTGATAAGAAGAGGTTGCTTTGCGGGGAGAGAATGAGCACCGCACCTGCCCGGACCTGGGAGAGTTCGTGTTGGGCTTTGCAGGTGGGGAAGGTCTCATTGTTTTGGTTGAAGTCTCCGTGTTGGGTTTCTTTTGGACATGTCGGGCATTCGAAGGGATTGCCTGAGGCCCCAACAGGCAGTCTCCTCCACACAATTTGCGTTTGAGCAGACTATGTGAAACATAAGGGATAAACTAGTTTTCTGCAATCTAAGGGTGGAAGTACATACCCCTTGTTCATACTCCTTGGCTTCCGTGGTTTCCAACCCACTTTATAAGGGGTATATACCCCTTTTGGCGAGAGGGGTATGAACATCAGCAGGCCTTTTGGGTTCATTTGTCCAAGGGGTATGTAAACGGGGTATGTACAAGCACCCCTGGATGCAAGCCCCAGATGTGGGCCACGCCAATGAGAAAAGTAAAGGTTTCCAGGGCCGCTTGAAGACTTGTTTCGCCCCCAGCCCGGCTCTTTGTTGCTTTTCCCCTTGGGCGCGTTCTCGCCCATGGGTTGCGGAAGAGACTTGGTAAACCTTCCATGTGACGAGTCTCCCGTTCTATCCCAACGTCGGTATCATCGTTTGGGCTAGATTCAAGTGGGCGTGTCTTTTTGTGTGAGGGAGCCCATTTGTTGGTGGTTTCAAAGTCAAAGGAGCACTACAAGGACAACTATAACCATTTTTGTTTTGTTTTTGCTTTTGTTTTTTTGTTGTTGTTTTTTTTGGGGGGTTTAGGTTCGACATATTTGGGGAACCTCATCCATTTTTCCCACTGGAGCTTCCAGGTACTTTGCGTATTTTTTCTACTGGCCTTTCATACGCCCTCCATGAATCTTCCACCCGTCCACTAACCTTCCACCAAGCTTTCATGACGCTTCCACCAGCCTTGCATGGAGCTTCCATGAATCTTCTCCGCAAAAGCCTGTAGACATCTTCCCTTGATCTCTTCGGGCTTCCATTTCGCCGTCACGCTTCCCCTTGGATTCCAGCGGCCCTTCCTCACGAAGCTTCGCTGAACTGTGCATGGAGCTTCCATTGCGGCTTCCTTTGAGCGTTCCGCAACGCTTCCCTTAAGGCATGGGATGTTCAATCAATACTGCGGATGGTGGCGAAGTCTGTTCGCAACACTTTCAAGCCATGGGACACCGTAATGCTTCTTGGTATTTACAGGGGAATTATCAAGGTTTCTTTTGTTGGTGCGAAATGGATTTTGTCTGTCCACAGTAACATGCCACTGACTAGAAGCCCGTCAGCTGAAGCACATTTCTGCGAAGCGGCAGACCCCTTTTTAAAAGACACCAGCAGGATAGTTAGCCTGTCAGGGACCACTGTTTTGCGAAGCCACCAAGTGGATCTGTCGTTTTTTTGAGGGTACCCTTTTTGGTTGGTTTAAAGGGGAACCAAAAGGACAACTACCATTTTGGGGGGTCCCGTACAAAACGACACACCCAACTGAGCTTCTATATTCATCTTTCACCCTGATTCACCACATGACCAAACCACAAGGGTAGACTTTTTTTCCATTTGCTCAAACATATGTTTCTGTTCCCCTCATGGTTTTAAGGGCACTACGGGAGAGATTGTTCTATGTTGGCAGGGGACGGAAAGGCAAATGGAGGTCCGTCTGTTTTACCTTTTGGGGGAACCTGTTGTTGGTGGTCTAAAGTTTGTTTGGGGGGTCCCTTAAAGAAAGGCTACCCATATGGTCAATTTCCTTGGATTTCCTCCCATCGGGTCGCACGAAACATTTTAGGGTAGCAAGGGTAAGGAGACCCCGCCTTGCGCCATCACGCTTTGGCGGCTGGCGCTCGACGCGCCCTTGTTTCAATGGAGCTCAGTTGACAAGCCCGTCCAGCTTTTTTCCGGCCACTCAGCGACACCTTGCAGAAGAAGAACCGCACAGGGTTTGGACAAAGTTGAAGACCGGTCCAATGACGTTTTCTTCGGTGCATTTTGCTTGGATGTTAGGACTTTAGCCAATGCCAACTAATGGGTTTTCCATTGAGTTCAGGCCACTTTTGGAGCTTCTACTCACCGCGCGTAGACGTACGTGGAGTCAGCTGGTGAGCAAACACTAGACCTGATCAGGGTGCCAACTCCAAACAGATCTGACACCATGATACCACCCATTTTCCAGGCACACCCCCTAATGTGGATGGACGATCCATTTCGCACCACCCAAGAAACCCTGGTGTCTGATGCTTCCCCTGTAGCAGTATTTCCCCCTTTCTGGAAACCGTGTTTGAAAACATCTGAGACCTGGGCCCAGTTGAAGTGGGTGGTCTTTCTTGGCGAGCTTGATCGGGGACGCTCAAAAAGGCTCAGTGCACGGGGAACCTCCCATGTAAACTTCCATTTGCTGAAGTGAATATGTGTCATTTTGGCCTTTTTGGTTTTGAAATGGAATCTATCACTAACGGAAATTGTTTTTGTTTTCCAAGGGGGCGCAAAAGCAACTGGCGGTTAAATGCCCCCGTCCAAAGGGTCCTTTTCAACCAAAAGTCATACCATCCCTGCCTCAGAATTTCGATCAGAGCTCATGTCTGTGGGTGTGTCAGTGTTTTTTTGTTTTGTTGAATTTGGTTTCTTTTTTGTTTGTTTTTGAATTAAGGGGGCCCACGCATGTGGTGTTTGTTCTTTTGGTTCTCTCTTAAAAAAAGCCGCACAACTGCGGGCCCCCGTCCCAAAGAACAAACCACACACGCACCCATTTGGAATGTTGACCTTGAGCCAAAAAAAAGAGAGAAAAACAAACAGCAACGTGGGGGGCCGAAAAAATGAAAAAAATCCGGACGCGCCCGTGCACGGAAGTGCGGCGCAGGCCGGCTCCTTTGGGGTCAGGGAGGACCAGTTCTTCCAGAAGGCGCCGAAGGGTCGCCGGCGGTTGTTTTCTCTTCGCGTTTGGGTTCTGCTGGTTTTAGAGGAAGGTTTTTTTCGTTTTAGGTTTCTGCAAAACTTAGTTTTTGGGGGTTCTGTTCATTTTTAGTTACTTGCCCTATATTCCTTTGCCCACGATTGGGCCCTTGGGCCGCACTTGCGCGGCACTTGCGCGTACTTGCGCGCGCACAGTGGCGCAGAAACTCGTTTTCGTTGACCTCGGTTTGCGAAGTTTTCGTGTGGATTGCGCGCAAGCTTTTCTAAGCAGTGTGTTTGTCGTTCACACAGCAACCCACAAAGACTTTTCCCGCTGAGGTCGCTCCCGGCAATTCAATGCCAGCAACATACCCTTGACCCAACAGAAAGAACAGCGGGCTCTGCCACACAGCTTGGACACAGCCTGAAAGAAAGAAAGTGCATGTTGCGGGTGCCCATCCATTGCTTGAACCGCGCCGCTAAGGACATCCGAGACAGCATGGCTAGATGTCTTGCTGGGGCTTCTCGTGCTTGCGCGCAACTTGCGCGCGGCTTGCGCGCGGCTTGCGCGCGGCTTGCGCGGATTTTGTCGTGTCAATTGCGGATTGTTGAAGTCATGACCGCAGAAGCTTTGGCTTCGTTTGGCGTCTGACTGATTCGAAAGGCACAAGTACAGCAAGAAAATATCACCTCCTTTCATGAAGCTAGGCAACATCAGTACATGAACCCTTCAAAACTGTAACCTTGCGCGTCCCTTGGGCCGCACTTGCGCGCTCCTTGCGCGCGCACAGCTTTTGACAACTTTTACTTCTCCCTGTTCGGCGATAATTAAAACCGAAGACTGGGGTTTTAGGACGGCCCTCAGTTGGGGGGCTGCAAAAAAGTTTGTTGCTACCGCACCAAGGGTTGGAAAGGAAACAGAACGAGAACCCTGGAGTACTAAACCCGTCCTACCTATGGGTGGGTATTCCCTCAAAAAGTGGTCTGAACCCCACTAAAAGGAATTGGACACCCGACTGGATTTGGGGGTTCCACTGGCTAGTAGGGCTCCGGATTAATCCGAAGAAAACGTTACAGTGGATGAGGATGGACAAAACATCCGCTTCGCGCCAGTGGGGATGGCTGTGACCGCAGTTTTGGGGAACCATATCGCCAGTGTATTGCCAACAATGTTTAATCGGGGAACGTAAATGGGGTTGGAGGACATGAATCCCCACGTACATGACGTCCGCCAAAGGTCCCCCATTGACATCCACACCAATATGAGTTTCGATATGTTTCGTGTGTTCTTGGCTTTAGTTTTTACAGGCACTAGAACATAGGAGAACCAAACGGACACCAGCAGAATGCAGGGGATGACATAAATGTTGCAAGTCGGGAACAAAGGAAACCCAACCTAAATTCAACCATGGTTTGTGTGGTTGGTTTACTCGCAATATTGAGTTGGCATCCGCCATGCCAATGTTTCCATGAAAAGGACAAGAGGTTGAGGGCCTTCCCTTGAATGGCCCGGAGCCTTTGTGGGCTGTGACAGTTCCCCGAGCCTTGGGACGAGTGAGAGCGGTTCATGCGCTGCTTCGGTCGGGGATAAAGCCGCCGCGAAGGTCTTGATTTCGTCGAACACGAGGAACCTGGAGTCTCCTCTCAGATTATACACTTACAGGATAGACTGAAAGGTGGCCCTTGAACACCACCAAAAAAGGTACCCTCAGAAAAACATCCACACCCAACCATGACACAGAATCAGAAGATCGTATTTTCTGTGTACCCCAAACGCGGGCCAAGACAAGTACCCATTGCTTGAAGGCCCTGTGCAACATGTAGGGTTGCGCCGGGGGGGGGGGGGGTTGCCCGGACCGAATGACAGGCGCAGCATTTTCATTTGCTCCAAGCAGGCTCCAGGACTGTGGCTTAACTGTCTTAGTGAGACCTTCAGAATGCCACCAACACTTTCATGCAGCTGCCCAGGCCGGGCTGCCTGCCTTGTACAAGTCATGATCTGCGCTGACAACTTGCTGGCAGAACTTCCAAGCCTGCTCGGTACCAAGAGCGCAGCGGAGACAAAGACCAGCATACGGGAAGTTAGAGCCCTCTTAGACACCACAGGCTTCTAAAACCACCTGCAGCAAAGCGGCAGCGTGTCAGATAAGCAAATGGGACTGAGCAGTCGCGTAGAGCGCGCAGATAGTGGAGAAGTCACATGGCGTGTGTGGTGGGGGCTCGGGATCGACTAGTTTGAAACACAGGTTGGCCTCGACATACTGGAAACATGGACCCGGGTTCTTTCCCCCCCGTTCCCTCCCCCCCCTCGACAGCCGCGAGCACGCTGAGGATTGGCATGCGCGGGCAGCATGAAAGTCCGGGCAAGCCCCCCCCCGTCAACCCATGTAGGTCGCTCCAAGCCGCAAATTTGCAGACTAGAGAACTGGCAGTCCTTGCGTTTCACCATGAACCACTTCCCATACATCTTTCTACCCTACCCCGTGACTGCCCACAACATTACCACACCCTGTCGCGGAGACCATTAAAAACTCAAAGACCAACACTCCCAAACTTGTAAACAAGTGGAGCAACCCTAGTGACCTGGAAAAGCCACCCCGTACCAGGTTAGTAAATCGCTCAGCCACCCCCAGGTTAGCAAAGCCACCCTTCTTGAGGCTTAGAAGTGGGTTGGATCCCAGGTTACCGACAACTTGCGCCAACTTGACAACGGGCACCCAAGTGTCCAAATCAACCTCCCCTCCCCTTCCCCCTTCCCCCTACCCCGCCCCCTCGTTTTGTCCGGTTTTAGATGGGGATCTGGACCGACCCAAAATTGTTTTTGTTAGGGAAGGGTTCCGATTCCTTTAAACGCAAGCCAACCAAAAATGGAGGCCTTTTTCTTCTCCCATGGAGATCCACAAAACATCTGGGCCCAAAAAGCGGTGGCCGTTTTGTTGTGTGGAAATTTTATTGCGCAGAGTTCACTGGATCGAAGCGAAAGAGTCTCAGCCCCGGAGGCCTCGGAGCTGGCGCGGGTGCGGGGCGTGCCGCGGATCTACGTGTCCTGCAACAGCGGCCGGGCTCGGCCGGGGGCGGACGCGGACGCGGGGCGTGGCTCGGGCTCGGACGTGGGAGAGATGTGTTTGGATGCATAGGTCCCAGGTCTTTGGGGGTCAGAGGCCCTCGTATATTTAGGGTTTTGGGCTTCTGGGGTTAGGTTGGCCAAAAATAGATGGGTTAAACACTGGTTTAGATTGGCATAGCCAGCCATCTACTCAGGAAACCCATCTATGTTTGTGAACAGGTGGCCACCTATGTTTGGAGGTGGCGAATCTGTGGACCCACCCCCTAGGATATGAAAAGAGTACGAAAGACGACTCGACAAAACAATAAACAACCGACGCGAAATCCGCAAAAAGCGCCTCCAAGCCGTTTTTCTGAGGTTCACCGCTGTTCTGGAGTTTTGTTTTTTCTCCTCGAAGTTTCGCGGTCTTTTGCTTTTAATAAGTTTAAGGGTGACGCTTCTGATCATTTGGCGTTTCGAAGTTTGGTTTCCAGCTTTTCGTGTAGCTGACGTGTGGGCTTGGGCGGCTGGGCTTCGGTGAACCCTAGCTTTGCAGTTCTGGAGACTGTTGTCGCCACGTGGATGGCTTGTCTCCAAATCCGCCCTCAAACTTGGCTGAGGTTACCAGGTTCCCTGAAACAGAGGTAATGAATCACCACCCTCCCAAGACGAGCCGGGTGTGTCCGAAAATCGGGGTTACTGTTGTCGCGACTTCCAATCGATGTCCGAAGCATCCAAGGCGAGGGTTCCTGCATCCAAATTATGGCAGCCGAAGATCCGAAAGTGGAACTTGACGGAAGCGTTTGTCAACTCATCCGTCACAAGGGCAATAGACACATATGACTTTCACCTTTCGGTGTTACACCAAACTGAGCCACAATTAAAAGCCCGTGTAATGGGAGGGTAAGGGCCAACCCAGTCAGACATGGGTGCGGATATCGTCCTGTTCAATTCTTGAAGCATGCTTTTGGGTCCCGACCATTTTTTATACCGATCGGTTTTGACTATGACTTGCTGGTGCTCAGCAGATAAACCATTAAACCATCGTGGTTTGCTTTATTCGGGAATCCCAAAACGGTTCATTCCATTTCACATTCAATCGCACCAAAACGGCGTTTCACATTCTCTGCCAATCGCACCAAAACGGTTCATTCCATTTCACATTCCCTGCCAATCGCACCAAAACGGTTCATTCCATTTCACATTCCCTGCCAATCGCACCAAAACGGGTCATTCCATTTCATATTCCCTACCAATTTCGCTGCGATCGCAAGTTTGACTATGACTCACCTTTCCCACCACACCACCCCCCCCCAGTTGGTTAAGAATATGTTTTATTTTCCCCTGTTGGTTTTAAAGGGAATCTATCACTTTTTTTCAAGGGGACTGAAGCCAGCTGGATTTTTCTGCCGCTACATCGAGCCAAGAGGCGCGCGGGTGGGCCTTGTGGAGGAGCTGAAGTCGCTCTTCAAGGCGTGAGCACGTCGAGTTGGGCGTTCCAGCTGAGTGTTGGGCATCAGGCTGACCATACACGCATTTGTATGTAAATATATGGGTATTAGGTTCACTTGCCCCAGTTGCAAACCATATGTTTTTTCTCTGGTGCTAGCAGCATCCATTGTTTGCACTTCGACCGGCAAGCTGGGAGTTTAAGAAGCTTCGACCTGCGGGTTGCTTTGAAGCTGTGGGTCTTGGAGGTGATCAAAGTCAGAGACTGGGTTGGGTGTTTCCCTTTAACTAGGTCCCCCAGCAATTGGGAAGGCCCTCTCTCACCGTTTCTTTTTTGCTTGGGAAGGTTCCACTAAAATAGGCTGCAGAAAAAAGTTGGTACCCTTATTCTAACCTCTCTACCTCAGGACCTAGTTAACTTATCACTTAGAGGGTGGCTTGTTGTGGTAAAGCAATGGGCCTGTGTTAACCACTAATGAATAGCCCCCCTCAGTTACGCATCAGTGGTCCCAGTCCCTCTGGGAAAAAGGAAGCTCCACTAAAAAGAAAGGGACCCCCGCTGATGAATAACTGGGTTCTTCAACCAGGGGGTTGGTTTGCTGAGACCACGAAACTGGCCACTGGGGCATCTGAGTGAGGGCAGGTAGCCTAGGTACCCACTTGGAAGTCCCCCGAAGTGGGGGTAGCCTGGTTGTTAACCTAGGACCCCCAGTAGTGCCCTTTTCCTGTTTCTTTTTTTGGGGGAGGCTTCCCTACTAAAATAGACAACAGACAAAAATCGGGTACCCTTATTCTAAGCTCTCTATTGGAGGACCTAGTAACTGTTATTGCAGGGTTGTAGCCATCTTGGCCGAACATCCTACAGAATCCCGTGCCTTCAGGTGCAGTGGCTGGACGCCTCGGACTGCGGGAAAGGCGCGCTGTGGGAGATGGGGGGAGCTGGGGCGTAGATTTCGAAGGTTTTATTTCCCATTCTCTTCACCCATCCTTCTCTTTGGAAGCCGCCCATTTTCCAGGGTTTTGGCCCATTCTTTGAGCAGGATGCCTGAAGAGAATGGGGAGACAGCTAGAAGATTCTCCCCCAAAGCTTAAATGTTCGCTTGGGCAAGTGAGTTAGCTGCCTGGGTTACAACCCGCTGACTGGGTTCACCCCACTGAAGTGGGCTAGGACCCGAACACCCGAGAGGTCTCACAAGTTTTGGCTTTTGGCTTTCCTAGAAGCCCCGGCCAAGCATATTTTGGCGTTTCCAAGCAAAGGACCCTCGCGCAAATCATTGGCCTTGCCAGAAATCGAGTTTCACATTGCCTTTTGAAGGGACATGTGGGGAACCTGTCTGTTTGTTTGTTTGTTTGTTTGTTTGTTTGTTCGTTCGTTCGTTTGTTTGTTTGTGGTGGTCGGCGTGGAATGCCTCGTGCTTTGTCTCTTTAGTGTGCGGCTTCCGCTTTAGAGGGGACTTCAGGGTCGGGGCTCCGCGAAGCGTCACGTGCCAGCGCTCTTGCCCCGCTCGAGTCAAGCGTGGAGAGTTAGTGAGGAGCTGTTCTCTTTAGGGTTCAACCGGAGCTCTCTGACGCCTCGGTTCCCGGAGCAATTTGTGAGGTGCTCGTTCTCTTTAGGGTTCAACCAGAGCTCGCTAACGCCTCAGCTTCCAAGCGCAAAGCTTTTTGATGCCTTTCCAACCGCCTTTGGTCTCCGACAAAACCTTTGGGACTTTGGAGACGAGAGGGTGGGCTGTTTTGGGGCGTTTAGTACCCTTCCTGGCTCCACGGTTCCACATAGCCGTACCATGGCAACTTACAGAAGTGGCTTGGCGGTTCCCCGCTATCCGGTTCCCTTGGTTTGTTTAGAATTGTTTGTTGGTTTAGTGGTAGTTGCGATTAAACCCACTGAACAGTGATTTACTTTTACCAAGGGATCGAAGGGGCACAGCCCCGATGGGAGCTTTGCGAGCCTTGCGATGCGCGAGGCTTCGAGTATCTCTACCTGCTCAAGGAGGACTACGAGAAGCTGCCGCCCGGAGCCGTGGAGGCGATGGGACGCGTCTTTGCGACGGGAGCGACTTTGGACGAGCCAACAAGTGGATAAGGAACCTGATCCTCTAAATTTGCTGATTTAGGTGATTGTCGACTGGCAGTGGTGTGAACATTTCAATAGACCCTTCGGTGGACATCATTCAGGTGGGGATTACATCCATTGCATTTCACTGCCACGGGCATGTGTTAAAATGGGGGGACCAACGAATGAATTTGGTTTTCCTGTTGGTTTCTCTTTAGCCACCTAAAACAGACTACTCCCACAGGCCAGTACATATTCAACAACAATAGCAACAACAAATAACATGTCTTCGCCATCCGAGAAACGAAAGTTATCCGATGCCCCTCCCCACCTCGGTGGTGCTTGGCGCTCGCTCGCGTGGTCAGAGTGTCAGGTCCACCAGCGGCAGGTTGCGGGAGAGGAGCGCTACGTCATCGACGCCATCATCGGGGAGGGGATGAAGAGCACCAGGCATCGCGGAACTTTCCGCGCATCGATCCTGCGGTGTTATGGATCGTTCAGGCGATCTGTGTTTTTTTGGTTTGGGGGGATTTGTTTTTTCTTCTTCTTACTTGTTCTTTTTCAGGTTTCCAAAGGAAGCCACTCCCAAAGATGAGGTTTCCATCTCCTATTTTGAGACAAGCTTTATGGATTTTCCCCTGGGGCCCAAGACCTCATTATTTAAGGTCTTTGGGGGTCAAAGGCCCTCATACTGAGGGTCTTGGGCTTCTAGGGTTATGGGGATTTGGTAATTGCATGTTTTGGTTGAAAGAGGTCGGATTTTTCCGAATGGCACCCACAAAACGTTGAACACTTTTTGCAGAGGGGTCGTTACAGCAACGAAGTGGATGCGCCAATTTCGTGTTCTTATTCCCCAACAGCTGGAAGCTGAGAATCAGGGGTTCGGGGATACCGCACGGGCTTATTTTCTCGCCGAGAGCCTTTGTTTCAGCCACGGATCTTCACTGGTGTCGGCATGTTTTTGCCGGGGTTCAGTTTTTTGGTTGGCATTCTTCATTTTTAGTAGGGGGCTGGGAAAAAGGTGCTACTGTTTGGGCTGTGAAGCACCCCATTTCACCACCAAACCACCGACTCGGCTCCAAACCTCCAATTCTTTGCGAGGGAAGCTGAGAAGCGGATGGTGAAGAACCAACAATCCCCAGGGGCGGCATCGGGGTGGAGAACCTCCAGGGCAGTGGCCTCATCGCCGGGGAGACAAGCAGGGCCTACCAGGAGAGATAGTGGGTCCGTGGGTTGGCAACTGGAGCAACCTCGCCAGTTCATGGAGCCCAACCAAAAGGGGGTTTGGACCGCCTGTTTTTGGTTCCTTCCAGATGGTACCCTCAACAACCACGCCCCAAACCCCAAACAGTTGCGGGTTCTCAGTAAGGAAACAACAAGGAATGGTTCAGGGCGCATTCCCTCCTTCCCTTCTGGTTCTTGCAAGAAAAATACCACCAGAACCAAGGGGACGTAGAAAACAATGAAACACCAAACCTTCGGCTTGTCACACAGAGTTTCCGAGCTATTTCCGTCTTAGAGTCTCGAAAGTGGTGATGGTTTCAATGGACACCACCCGGTAAGTTGATCAAGTTTTGATTTGGGGGAAACTTGAAGGTGCCGCTACAGCCAAGCGCCGGAAGTGGCAATGGAAACCACCCTAAAATTGATCCACTTCAAGGAGAAATCCAGGTTCGACTCCTGTCACTCCGAAAAGATTTCAGCAACTACCGCACTTTTCATTTTGGGCAAGAACAACTCCGAAGGTGACGCCACCGCCAAGTTTCCTCCATTTCCTCTTTTAAAGAGCCTCAAACTAATTTTTTGGGTTGCTCCACAGTGGTGATTGTTTCAATGGAAACCACCAGTAAATTGATCAACTTCAAGAAGAAATCCAGGTTCGACCCCTGTCTCTCCGAAAAAAAATCCGAAGAATACAACTTTTGACTTTGGGAACAAACAAAGCCGAAGGTGGCGCGCCACGACCCAGTTCCCGCGCCATTTCCTCTTTCGAAGAACCTCCAAATGATTTGTGGGTTGCTCCACAGTGCTGATTGTTTCAAGGCAACCCACACCGTAAAATGATCCACTTTCTGATGTTGGGAAGGCAAATCCGGAGCTCAAACAAGCCCTAAATAAGGCCTTAACAAGGGCTTTTTGGGGCTCCCTCCCCCTCCCCTCCCTCCCCTCCAGCCCCCTGAAGGTGACGCTCAACCGCGCCCAAAAGAGAGAGAGAGAGAGAGAGAGAGGGACGCGAACAAATAGAAAAAGACAAAGAAAGAAGCCTCGCCTCACAAGAGGAGACCTTCACGCTCTCCTACATCACCGGCCGCTCCGTGGGCATCGGGGCCTATCTGAACCGCTTGGGCCAGCGGAACATCCAGATGGCCGGGGGCTTGGGGAGCCGAAGGAAGGAAGCCACAGGTATTGTTTCAAATGGGATCGTGGGCGGCTCGCTCGTCTTTTTTCAGTAAGGGGCCATCCAAACAGACGGTGGGGTTTTCCTTGTGGTGGGTGTTTATGCTAATCAAAAAGGGGTTCCCTCAGAAAGACACATCCATGTACAAACACTAGAAAGCCACAGGTGATGTGCCCCAATTTTCCTTTCCGGGTGGTGGTTTGGGCGTCAAGCAGAGCTTCAGGATGCTTCAGGTCTCGCCCTGTTTCCCGTTTCACGCAAACCGCGCAACCGCCACCGCAGTTTCCGAACCGGGTCCAGCCTGAGGGGGTGCAGAGGGCGGCGAGGAACATTCCAGCAATCTTTGCTCGTACTGTTGACCCCGGATGAATGAGCCTCAGTATATTAACAGAGGTTGTGCCTGGGTGAAATCTGGTTGGAATCCGACCACTTTTTGGAGGGGCCCCCACCCCCCAATATATATATATATATATATAAACTGGGGTTTTTATTAATATGAGGTCAACGTTATGGGGTACACTCCCGCCTTTTTGGTACTTAAAGGGAAACCCCGTTTCGAACCTTCTCCCCATTTTGACACATAACCATATTCCACAAGTTAAGATGAGTGTGTTTTTGTTTCAGGGTGCCCTTTACAAGTTGCCAACACGAAAGCCCGCCATTTTGTTGGGTCCCTTGACATACATTCATGAGTGGTCCAAGAATTGTGTGAATGCCTAAGGTGCATCCCGAACATTGGCCAGCCAGTTTCAGGAACCCCCCCGAACCTGCCCAGAGCGGCCGAAAAAAAGCCGACCTGATCCTTTTGCTTGTCCTTGCAGGATTCTCGAAATGCTGCACTCTTTATCGGGCTTGCCCAGCAGGATTCTTGGTCATGGAAGGTCAATCAGCTCTTAAGAACCGTATACACAACTAGGTCCCCCAGTGCCCTTCTCTCCCCTTTTTGGGGGGGAGGGGTTCCTTACTAAAATGGGCTACAGAAAAAAGCGGTTACCCTTATTCTAACCTCTCCACCGGAGGACCTAGACAACCTACACAACCACGATCAGGATTCCTTTTGCTGCCAGACGTCCACCCGTCTGAGGTCAGCAGCCCCATCATCCTCACGGGCTATGCGGCTCTCAACAAGCTTCTGGGCAAGAACGTGTACTCCTCGCAGGACTTCTTCGATGGGATGGATGATTGGATGTTTGTTGTTGCTCGACGGCACTAGGTCTGTAGGCAGGCTGCACTTTCGTTTTCTGGCTTGCGAGGCCCCTGACTTGCGTGGGTTTTTTCAGCGACAACATTGTGGGGCTCTATCCAGTTGTGTTTCTTTGCTAGCAGCACAGACAAACACAGCAAAGCGACACATCTTTCATACACTTTTTGTCTTGACAACACCATCATGTCTAGTAAGACGTTGCATCTTTCCCACACCTTTCATGTTTTTCTGCCCGATTTCTCATGCCTCTGGAGCTCGCGTTTTCTCCCCGTTTGGGCGTTTGCGTCTGCAGGACCAGCTGGGCGGGCCGCAGATCATGGTGCCCAACGGCGTCACCCACCAGGTGAGTCACAATCAAAGCCTGGGTAGTTGGAGGGGGGCCAATCCCCTTGCCATAAATAGCTGCGGATATCCGCCTTCTCAATTCCTGAAGCATGGTTCTGGGTAGACCATTTTTCATGCCGATCGGTTTTGATTATGACTCAGTTGACCCGGAGCCCTTGGCAAGCTGAAGGGGTGGGAAGGGGTGGGTGGGCTTGCCACCAGCCATCTGAAGCAAACACTTCGCTGTTTTTTCTTGGGGGGGTTTAGTGGTTACGTTTCCGTATTCAACCTGCTAAAAGTTAAGCTTTGAGCAGGGGATCTGAGGACAGCCCAGGTGTGTGTGTGTGTGTGCAGAGTGGCAGATTGCCCTGCCACCAGACAGTTGCAGGGGGCACGGCGCCTGATTTCCAAGCCGTGCCAACGAAGCTACGGAAATCGGGTGGAGGAGATGCTGGACGCAGCATCTTGTACCTGCTTCAGTGATTCTGAAAGTCCTTTTGGCCCCCTTGGTTGCGGCGCTGTTTGTGCTTCTTGTTCTTTCGGGTAACGTGTTCGCTGCTAGAGGGAAGCCGAGTGCATTGCGAGCCGAAACTTATGCATGAAGAACCTTATCCAAGCCGAAACTTACCAGTTGTACTCGAAAGATTAGCACCCTCCATCTGGAGTTTAAGTGTGTACACCCCATTCGTGGGGAATCCTCGGGTGTACCCATCGTGTGACCCCGGGCCGACTCTGTCGGAAAATTTGACCTCAACGTGCTTATCATAGATCAGCGGAATTTCACATTTAACCAGGAACGAGGTTTCACTAGAGGGAAGACAGCCGTCAGATCATAGCTAAGTCTCACAATTGCTGCTGTTGGCTGCATGACCGCGTGTTGATCTGTGCTTGGCTTGAACTTGCGTTGACTTGCATCTTGTCGGATTCGATTCTCTCAAGATTGAGGTGTCGCGGTTTTGAGTTTGTTGTGCCACCATGTCTCGACGGGATGATCGTGACAGATCCAGAACGCGGCGCAGACGGGATCGGAGTCCGTCTCCTCAATCTCGCAAAGCACGCCGACGTGAACACAATGACAATCAGGTCTCGGAGGGCATGGATTGGAACAACTTGGTATCCTGGCAACACAATTCGGGCTACAACTTCAACAGCAATTTTCCGGTGATGCCAGGCAATTATCAATCGATTCCAAACCCTACGCAGCAGTTCCATCATTCACCGGTCAACTACATGATGCCGGTTCCTCCAGAGCCCACACCAGCGAAGTTCATGACGCCCGTCATGCCGTGGCTGGAGTGGTGCCCGGATCCTCAACAACCAGATGCTCAATGGGTCAAGATTCACTCCATGTCGCAGTCTTACCACACTGTGGCCAACAGGTATGAACTTCATAGGTGCCGGTGCACTGCCTATTTATTGATCAGTTTTTGCAGCGTCTCGTTTCTCAAAGCTATGGGTATGTCCCGCCGTTCTTCGAGGTTCTTCACTTCTACAAGACGTCTCTGTTGTGTGAAATCATGCACTCCACTTTTGCGGATGCAAGACACCTTCGATCACTACGGACACGCTTCCCGGACCTCTATGACTTCATTCAGGATCCAGGTCACCATCAACAGCCATGCGTCTACATCAGACTTTCTCCATGGCACAGTCCATACTACGTTGGAGCAACTGATCAGGTGAGTGGCTTCGACACCTGAGCCGCGCCTTGCTACAAACCGCGACGTTCGGCGCTGCATGTTCTGTGAGTGTTTGCTTGCATGTTTGTTGATTTGTCGCATGTGGTGCTTGTAGTCTGCAGCCGTGTACCTCTCGATTTTGCGTCTAGGGTTTGAGAGTGGAAGGAGTTCTATGCCCCAAATCTTGATCAAGAAGGCGGGCAGCCCACCAAGGGACTGGGCCACCGGCTGGGCCTTATCCTGGAAGTGCTAGTTGTGGTTCGGATCGCACTTCAGATCCCGATTCACTCCATGTCGCAGTCTTACCACACTGTGGCCAACAGGTATGAACTTCATAGGTGCCGGTGCACTGCCTATTTATTGATCAGTTTTTTGCAGCGTCTCGTTTCTCAAGACTATGGGTATGTCCCGCCGTTCTTCGAGGTTCTTCACTTCTACAAGACGTCTCTGTTGTGTGAAATCATGCACTCCACTTTTGCGGATACAAGACACCTTCGATCACTACGGACACGCTTCCCGGACCTCTATGACTTCATTCAGGATCCAGGTCACCATCAACAGCCATGCGTCTACATCAGACTTTCTCCATGGCACAGTCCATACTACGTTGGAGCAACTGATCAGGTGAGTGGCTTCGACACCTGAGCCGCGCCTTGCTCCAAACCGCGACGTTCGGCGCTGCATGATCTGTGATTGTTTGCTTGCATGTTTGTTGATATGTCGCATGTGGTGCTTGTAGTCTGCAGCCGTGTACCTCTCGATTTTGCGTCTAGGGTTTGAGAGTGGAAGGAGTTCTATGCCCCAAATCTTGATCAAGAAGGCGGGCAGCCCACCAAGGGACTGGGCCACCGGCTGGGCCTTATCCTGGAAGTGCTAGTTGTGGTTCGGATCGCACTTCGGATTCCGATTCACTCCATGTCGCAGTCTTACCACACTGTGGCCAACAGGTATGAACTTCATAGGTGCCGGTGCACTGCCTCTTTATTGATCAGTTTTGTGCAGCGTCTCGTTTCTCAAGACTATGGGTATGTCCCGCCGTTCTTCGAGGTTCTTCACTTCTACAAGACGTCTCTGTTGTGTGAAATCATGCACTCCACTTTTGCGGATACAAGACACCTTCGATCACTGCGGACACGCTACCCGGGCCTCTATGACTTCATTCAGGATCCAGGTCACCATCAACAGCCATGCGTCTACATCAGACTTTCTCCATGGCACAGTCCATACTACGTTGGAGCAACTGATCAGGTGAGTGGCTTCGACACCTGAGCCGCGCCTTGCTACAAACCGCGACGTTCGGCGCTGCATGTTCTGTGAGTGTTTGCTTGCATGTTTGTTGATTTGTCGCATGTGGTGCTTGTAGTCTGCAGCCGTGTGCCTCTCGATTTTGCGTCTAGGGTTTGAGAGTGGAAGGAGTTCTATGCCCCATATCTTGATCAAGAAGGCGGGCAGCCCACCAAGGGACTGGGCCACCGGGTGGTTCGGATCGCACTTCAGATCCCGATTCACTCCATGTCGCAGTCTTACCACACTGTGGCCAACAGGTATGAACTTCATAGGTGGCGGTGCACTGCCTATTTATTGATCAGTTTTTGCAGCGTCTCGTTTCTCAAGACTATGGGTATGTCCCGCCGTTCTTCGAGGTTCTTCACTTCTACAAGACGTCTCTGTTGTGTGAAATCATGCACTCCACTTTTGCGGATGCAAGACACCTTCGATCACTACGGACACGCTTCCCGGACCTCTATGACTTCATTCAGGATCCAGGTCAGCTATGCGTCTACATCAGACTTTCTCCATGGCACAGTCCATACTACGTTGGAGCAACTGATCAGGTGAGCGGCTTCGACACCTGAGCCGCGCCTTGCTACAAACCGCGACGTTCGGCGCTGCATGTTCTGTGAGTGTTTGCTTGCATGTTTGTTGATATGTCGCATGTGGTGCTTGTAGTCTGCAGCCGTGTACCTCTCGATTTTGCGTCTAGGGTTTGAGAGTGGAAGGAGTTCTATGCCCCAAATCTTGATCAAGAAGGCGGGCAGCCCGCCAAGGGACTGGGCCACCGGCTGGGCCTTATCCTGGAAGTGCTAGTTGTGGTTCGGATCGCACTTCAGATCCCGATTCACTCCATGTCGCAGTCTTACCACACTGTGGCCAACAGGTATGAACTTCATAGGTGCCGGCGCACTGCCTATTTATTGAGCAGTTTTTTGCAGCGTCTCGTTTCTCAGGACTATGGGTATGTCCCGCCGTTCTTCGCGGTTCTTCACTTCTACAAGACGTCTCTGTTGTGTGAAATCATGCACTCCACTTTTGCGGATACAAGACACCTTCGATCACTACGGACACGCTTCCCGGACCTCTATGACTTCATTCAGGATCCAGGTCACCATCAACAGCCATGCGTCTACATCAGACTTTCTCCATGGCACAGTCCATACTACGTTGGAGCAACTGATCAGGTGAGTGGCTTCGACACCTGAGCCGCGCCTTGCTCCAAACCGCGACGTTCGGCGCTGCATGTTCTGTGAGTGTTTGCTTGCATGTTTGTTGATTTGTCGCATGTGATGCTTGTAGTCTGCAGCCGTATACCTCTCGATTTTGCGTCTAGGGTTTGAGAGTGGAAGGAGTTCTATGCCCCAAATTTTGATCAAGAAGGCGGGCAGCCCACCAAGGGACTGGGCCACCGAGGGCCACCGGCGTGTTGCAGCTCCTGAAGCTGATCACGGCTTCAATTCGATGTCCTATCCAGATCAACATAGCGTGGCCACGCAATCTTCGGCTTTGTGTATGTCACCGCGAATGTTGAAAGCGATTCTTAGATCATCGGATGCTTCGGCTTTCTCTACTGAGGATCTCACTCGTCTTCAAGATGGGATCTGTCAGCAACTGTCGGATCGCGCGTGTTCGGCGTCCCATCTGCACCAACCAGTACGTGCATCTCGTGGAGTTGAACCACCTGAATCTATTGGGTCGCTGATCCGTATCTACCTCCGACCCAACCATGCAGCTCCACCAACAAGGAGAAGCCTATCTTTGAGCTAAACGATGAATAGACTGATGCGTCTTGATCATGGTACAAAAGGTGCTTTCTCTTGCTCTTGCTTTCTTGTGTAATTTCTGGTTGTGCATGGTTGGGCATGGTGACTGTTTCTTTGCTAGCTGGATCGGAACCTGCGGTACGCCCTGTCTTTCACTTCGGCATGGACATCGAGGATGCAACACAGATGTTGGGCCGAACCGATGAGCAGCACCCATGGCTCGAATATTCAGTCTGGCAAGGTCAGGGCGCGGTTCTACACTCCAGGACAACCTCAGCTGTGGCACCCAGAAGAAGCAGTACCTGACCTACCAGAAAACTCGTTTCGGGAGTGGAAGCGGGTAACTGATCCAATTGATGGGACTGGTGAGCCCAGTCAGGCATGGACAATTCGCGACTGGCAACATCAAGGTTACCAACGCATTCTTTCTCGCTTTGAGTCCTTCTCCACTCATCAAGCTCAGGATCAATCACTTGTTGACGTGCAGAATTCGGACACCATCCGGGTCGAGGAGATGTTCACCTATGCCCCACCTATTTCTGACGGTGATCGCCCGACTGATTTGCACCTTCCTCCGGTCTTCTATGGCGGCACCCGTCATGCACATCGTGGTGATCTTTCGTTCCCGTCTTCTGAGCGGCTTCGTGCAGCTTCGCGCTCTCCTCGCCGCTGTGGATATTTTGGTAGACGTTAGCATTGATGAGCCGATTGCGTGATCTTCCGACAGGAACAAAAGATTTTCGCCCTCATGCGGAGTGGCAGATTACCCTGCCACCAGACAGTTGCAGGGGGCACGGCGCCTGATTTCCAAGCCGTGCCAACGAAGCTACGGAAATCGGGTGGAGGAGATGCTGGACGCAGCATCTTGTACCTGCTTCAGTGATTCTGAAAGTCCTTTTGGCCCCCTTGGTTGCGGCGCTGTTTGTGCTTCTTGTTCTTTCGGGTAACGCGTTCGCTGCTAGAGGGAAGCCGAGTGCATTGCGAGCCGAAACTTATGCATGAAGAACCTTATCCAAGCCGATTAGCACCCTCCATCTGGAGTTTAAGTGTGTCTTGTTTCTCACCTCCCCAATTCGTTCCATTGGCTGAAATGAATATTCTGGAGATTCCCCCGTTGGTTGCAGGGAATCTACCACTACTGTTAGCATGTTTTCTGTTTGTTTGTTTTGTTTTGGGGGGGACTCACCCAAATGGAGGATTGGACTCGGAGACCATTTTAGTGGCAAACAACAAGCTCACACATTTGGCCGATCCACTCGATCGGAAGTGACTCAAAATCAAAATTCCAGCCATCAATGGGTGCGGCTGCCTTTTCAGTTCTTTACGTACGTGGTTCTAGGTAGACCATTTTCATGCCGATCGGCTTTGATTTGACTCAAGTGAGCTTTGGAGGGTACACTTTTCTGGTTCGCATTTTGGTGAGCCGAATCGAAAGCTTGACTTGGTCCGGTGGGCTCCCCAAATTGCAGGGTCTGGGGGGTCGCCCGGCCATGAATTTAGTAAGGATACCACCTCAGACTTGGTGGTCCCCAGCTGTCCAGTTCCATAAGATTTAGCTTTTTAGTTGGTTTAGTGGCAGCAGTTAGTTACTTTCTAGCGGGGGATCGAAGGGGAACAGCCCGCCTTGATGCTTGGTGGACGGCAGGCCGCATGTGAATGGAGGGATAGTCAATGTTGACGGCTCATGTGCCGCGATTCAATGCCGGAATATATGTTTCGCCTCAAGTTGCACCTTTTGGCATCATCCCAAAATGATGACCAAGGAATCACCCCTCGGGTGGACTTAGGATACATGTTACATTTTACCAGTGACTCAAAGTGAAGCAGACAATAACATATACATTCTATAACTGGGCCTAACTCTAATCATGACCCCAAGGGTAATCTGAAGGACATCACCCCATTTGGCTCGGGTTCCGCCGGGCTTTGAAGACACTTTTCCGCGCGGCTGCTGAGTCGTTCATTGCGACCCAGGGGGTCGCGTTGCGACCTCATGAAGGTTCCTCTCTTGGTGTTAGTAGGCTGCGTCGTTTTTTTCTTTTAAGTTGCTACAGTTTGCTACCCAAAAGGAAACTCACCCATTGTAGAGGGTCCGATTTCTCCCCCCCCCCCAAAAAAAAAATCAGAGAAAAGAAAACACAAACAAACAAACAAACAAACAAACCAGAAAACAAAATGCGCACCGATGTGAGGTGGGTGAATCGCAGTTTTGTCCCAGGCCAACAGATTTTGTCTCTTGTGGATCTCACGCAAGATGGAATCCCCAGAATTCCCGCCTTCCATTGCAGGTGGTGAGGGATGATCAGGAGGCTGGGGCTACCTGTGGGCGAAGCTGTGCCCCATAGTCTGTCCTTTTGATGGGTGAATTTGATACAGAAATAGGTGGGTTCCGCTGGTTTAGATGTTTATTGTATTTACGGGGCTCCCTACATATGGATATATATATATATATATATATATACATATGTCCCTTGTTGGTGGTTTTGAAATTCACCTCGTGGTCCCGTGTTACGTGATGTTTGAAGGGAAAATATAGGGAGCACGAATTTACCGGCGAAACCCAGCTATTTTTTCCCAAACGGCCACTCACCTGGACTCCCCAATGGACCCCTTTTCGTCGTGCCGTTGACCCGAACAATACTACGAAGGCAGAGAAAAAGGAACGGGTCCTTTGGGGGTCCAGCTATGTGCCCCATGTCTTGCTATTTCGCGCTTGTTTTGGGGCCCCGAAGGAGAAGACCAGGTGCGCTCGCTCGTTCACGTATCCGGTCTGGGGTTCGGACATTGGGAGACTCACTTAAACTTTCCGAAGCCCATGTTTGAGGGCTCCTTTAGTGTGACTGCGGCAAATGGGTGCTTCTCTTTTCGTGGGAAGCTTCCCAGCTCCGGTTCTTTAGGTTTTTGTGGTTGGTTTAGTGGTAGTTTCCGCTAAACCACCAAAAGCTAGACTTTTTGCAGGTCTTGGACAGCCCAGTTTTGGCATGTTTCAAGAGGGGGTTCCTGGCGCATTTCCCCGATGCAAATGACGCCCTCTTTGAGTTGGTTTTTGGGGGCCGTCAGGCCCAGGTTACTCCTACTCATTGTAACCAGGCCCTCGTTAAGGGTTGTGGGATCGCTCGGGGTTTCTCCCCACTTCTGTGATACAAGGGAATCTCCCCCTTTGTATGGGGGTTCGTCTTTGGGAAGCCCTTTCTGTTGCATCACGGAAGTGGATTCCATTTCCCACAGCCCGGCTATAGTCACACTTCAGCCATCTTCATTTCTTTGTGCCGCTAACACCCAGATGGTGCCAGGGCACCAGTTGAGATCATGTTGAGATCCGGCTCGGCCGACACAAAAGTCAAACTTTTGTCAGGTTTTCAAAAACGGCCCTCTTGGGGTGGCTCGTCTTTTTTTGAGTTGGTACCCCCCAAAATGGGTGGACAATTCCTTGGGTTCCCCTTTAAAACCACTCATCAAAAAGGGGAATGGGTGGACAATTCCTTTGGTTTCCCTTTTTGAAACCCGAGAAAAGGGGTGTCGACAAGAAACGACACCTCCCCGTTTGGACATAGCTCTTGTCGGCAGTGAGCCTTTGGGCCGGCCAGCCCAGGGCATGTCTGCCATCCTGGACTGGCTCAGCTTCGTGCCCAAGGAGCAACCTGTTTCCCCAGGGCTCCTTAAACGATACATGGCTTTTTCCACCAAAATGGAGGGAAACCATCATTTAAAAGGCAATGTTCAGGTGTATAATGTAAGGATCCCGGTTTCCCTTTAAAGGGAACCTCCAACGTGGCGCAATTCCAACGGAAACCACCAGGACATCGCAGGTTTCGACCTAGGGGTTTGTAAAGGCCTCCAGCTTAGAGCCGATGGAATCCACTGAAACGGTGCGGAACACGGCCAGGTGGGAAGATCGGCAAATCGACGATGTTTTTTTTTTTGGTGTTTTGAAAGGGACATCAAAAGGGAGACCACCATTCTTAAGGGAGCAGGTTGATCCCCATTCCCATCAAGTCGGAGAACCACCAAGACACCCTGGACGGGTAAATGTGTGAAGCGAAGGAGCGCAGAACCTCATTCGGGCCCCGAGTTTCTAGACTTTAGACTTCTTATAAACCAATTCACTCAAAAAATGAGAAGAACTCCCGGGAAGAATGGGGAAAGCACAACCAGACTGACAAGCAACGGATGTATATTTAGGGTCGACAAAATATGCAACAGAGTTTGAATGCATATATGCAACAGAGTTTGAATGCATTCATTATTTCTGCGTACAACGAGGGCCGCGGGAAGATCTAGAACGAAAGCCGCCCCTTTCGCGCAGGACGTGAGCTGTCTGCCCCCCATTTGCCCGTGGCCCAGAGCAGTTTGAACGGGTTCGTCTCCGAACGAAATATGGAGCCAGACTTGAGCTATCCTTTTCCACCTGCCAGACTTCACAAACATGTTTGCTTGGCCTTTTTGCCCTCTTGGTTCCACCCTTTTGACCACTAGAAGTCCACCTTTTGCAGGTTTCGTCTGGACCAAATCAAAATGGCCGGTCCTTTCGCTGCGCTGTGAAGCGGCGCCAGGGTCCCCCCAAGAAATAACCGGGTGAAACAACCAAAAGACCAGAAAAAAGAGAAACAACCAAACGATTCACCCAAGAAAACAACCAACAACTTCTGGGTGAATCGACGCCGTCGACCTCTCTGGGTAAGGTGAACAGCAGAGGGTGAAACCCACCGGTACAGTCGCAGGGCTGGCGGGTGGGTTTGAGGGAAAGGGGACAGATAGGTTCTGCTTAAAGAAGGCGATGGGGTACGTCAGCTAAGTGGATAGAAACCATGATTACATCCCACTTAGGAGACTCATAATCATGGGAAGTGGGTTTTTAAGTGAAAGCACACAGACACAATCTCCGATGTTGATATGCTGGCCACGAGTCATGGCAATGTAGTTGCCCTTGGAACGACAAGACATGGGGTGAACTAATGCGCAGCGTCAGGGTGAATCTTGGAATGGATTCTTTCTTTGAATGGCAATGGTCCCGCCAAGGTCACACCAAGAATACAGCCTCTCCAATACTACAGCATACGTATGAAGGTAGCAATGTATGACATCTTCTGAAATGGGTGTCTCCTTTTTAGGGGACCCAAGCACAAAACAAGAGGTGTTCCTTTAGTTTCCCTTCAAAAGCACTGTAAAGGGGGACCCAAGTGTCTTACGTATGTGTACGTAGTCTTAAAAAGGGGACCCCTCTAGTTTCCTTTTGGTTTCCTTTCGAAGCCATCCCAAAAGAGTCCGAAACCCCTCCACTTTCCTTCTGGTTTCGCTTCACACCATCCAAAACTGCGCCCCCTCCCCCCAGTTTTGAGAGAACCCCTCCCCCCCAAATATATCTCCCTCCTCCCCCGCCCCCTCATTTTTCGAGACATTTTTCGTAGCCCCCCAGGTGTATCTCTGATCCTTGCGCTGCGTCCTTCGTCTCTCTCCGCGGCCGCCGATCCGACGCGCGCCTCGAGGCCAGCCCAGCGGCGCGGACGCCTGGGACCGGGACGTGGAGTTCGAGCCGTCGCCGCCGGGGGCCTCTTTGACCGACTCGACTCGTTGGATCCGGGGGGAGGGGGGGGTTGTTGGGTCCGTATGAATCAACCAAAGGAAAAACAAGCTCACCCCTGGAGTTCTTTTGTTTGGTTTTGAGCGGGGGGGGGGGGTTTTGTTGGGTGCACATAACTATGAAGTTTCATTGGGAACCCCCAGCTAAATCATGGTTGGCCACAGATCCCCACCCGAAGGATGTCCAGAGGGCCGCTCATAAACAAATCATAGCCATATGAATCTAAAGGAAAACCAACTCGAGGAAAACGGGGGTAGTGTTGGGTGGCTTTAAGGGGAAGGGGGGAAGCGGCGAAGCGAATGGATGCCGACTCAAGAGGTATGTCCGATTGGAAGTGTCGTGTTTTGACGACACCACGGAAACCAAAAGAAGACCCACCCATTTTATGTTTGTTTGTCTCAGAGGGGGGGGGGGGACCAACTTAAAAAAAAGAAAGAAAAAACAGACGAGAGAACCCAAATGGCTGTAATGTTGACTCCATAGGAAAATCAACGAAGCAGTTTCTTAATGAGGGGGGTGTCCCAGAGTGAAAAAAAACAACCCCTGTGTATTGAAAGGGGGCCCTTCCAAAGTGGTCTGGTTCCCCACATTTCAGATTTGTATGGGGTCAACATTACGAGCAAAGATGAGGTGAAGCTTTTTCAGGGCGTAACCCGACCCAACCCCCCCGAGACCGTTGCAACATCCATTTATGCAGAAACCCTGGGATGATTCGATTCCCCTGTAAATACCAACAAACAACGGTAGTGGTTTGTCCTTTTTTGGGGCAGCGGTTTGGGGGTTGTGGTTTGACCATCTTAGATTAGACACCCTGCAGAATGCAGGTTAAAGGGGAAATGAATGACCCCCAGAGGGAGAAAGCGCACAAGAGTTATTTACAAGTCTGGCAATGATTTGCGTGTGTCCTTATCCTTTGAGTTGTACCCCCTTTGCTGTGGTTTTGAAAGAAACACCAAAGGCTCACTTCACCTGAGAAGCACAGGACTATAGCTACTTTATGGGTTTGGACCAAAGAAGTGTGGTTACTTTGTTTGGCCAATCCACTCAAGTCAGCGATGGTGCCGCCTCCTCCAAAATTTTGTTTGAGATGACGAAATATGACAAATTATGACGACTGGGTGCCTTCGGGTTCTCCTCCAAAACGGATGTGATATGATCGACATATGAAATAGAGTTTGAATTAGGGTAGACAAAAAATGAAGAGTCTTAACATGTGCCGGAGTCAGAACATATTATTCCGTTTGGTTAAGCAACTCGCGAGAGAACGGTTGGTTCGTCTCCGTTGGAACGAGGGGGATGGAGGGAGGGGGTGATCCCTGCCAGGTGTGGTTAAAACTGTTAGTACTCCCAATTGAAAGGAAGCAGCCCAAGGGGGCCAAGGAGACTTCTCTGAAAAGATGTTTTTTGGCTCTATGTTAATCTGCAGAGGAAGCCTTAGTGAAGGTTGGATTGACCAATGAAGTAGAGGTTTATGGCAGTTTTTTTTGTGACATCGAAACACACGTTCGGGGTTGGTGGGATGTCAGAATATTCCCATTGCATCCCAGTTAATAGAATGTAGTGGGTACCCAGCTATAGTTTTTATTTTTAAAGAGTTGGCTACCTACTCTGCAGGTAAATGGATCCACTGGGAGTAGCTATTTACTACAGTCCTTTTGTCGACCCTAGTTACCGTTTGGAAGGTTGGGGGGCGGGGGGGCAGGGGCTTTCAGGGAATGCAAGAGAGGCTGCTTGCGCGCTGTGTTTTGAAGGAGTTCTTGGTGAACATGTCTACGTGTCTTCGATAGAATAATGTGGGTCACTTCATCCCACCCCACCCCACCCCACCCCACTCCACTCCACTCCACCCCACCCCACCCCACCCCACCCCACCCCACCCCACCCCACTCCACTCCACTCCACTTCACCCCACCCCACCCCACCCCACTCCACTCCACTCCACTTCACCCCACCCCACCCCACCCCACCCCACCCCACCCCACTCCACTCCACTCCACTTCACCCCACCCCACCCCACCCCATCCCATCCCACCCCAGCTTCTGGCAAGGCAGTTGCGACAGAACCCTGTGCTACGGAGGCTGCCCTATGATCCACGAGACTTCCTGCGGGCGCGCTGCTCAGTCGCGCGAGTCGATGCGAGGGGTTGCGGCAAAATGGGCGGCGGCCCCGTGAAGGAGGGTTGTCCGTTCGGTTTCGCTTTGGACAAAGAAACAAACGCGAACCTGCAAAACATGGACAATGGCAGCAGAAGCGGCGGGGGCCGATTCCTGCGGTTTTGAGGGCTCCCCTTTGCCTTTGGTGAGCAAACCAAAGTAAGCCAGCTTACGCAGACATGAAGGTTTTGTCACTTGCTGGCATGCAGCCTCATGATGAAGGTTGTCTTGGGGAGTGCTCTTTCTGGAGTGCATTTTCTAGGTGAGTTGTAAGGATCACTTCGAGGAATCAGCCCTATTTTCAGCGGAAGGCTTAGTTTCCTGGTTTCATCTGGTTGTCCCCGGTGCATCAGCCCCATTTTCAGAGTAAGGCTCAGCTTCCTGGTTTCATATGGGTTGCCCCCGTTTTTTTCTCCCCCCCACGGCTTTTTTTTTGTCGCTCGCTGCTGCCGCACGCCACGTAGCAAGCGCTCGCGCTGAGGGCGTCATTGACCACGAGGGCCGGCGCATGCGGGGCTTCTTCGACGCGGGCTCTTGGATCGAGTACCTCGAGGCGAGTGACACAAAAGGACGGTTCGACTCAGTCGCCGACTCGGAAAAATCTCGCTGAAACCCGATGACACGCGTACGCTTAGAAGGGGATGTCTTTTTTTAGGGGACCCCCAAAAAGGTGGTTGTCCTTTTGGTTTCCTTTGCAAACCACCAAAAAAGAGGCGCAATCAAAGAAGGAAAAAAAGGAAACACCCAGAACAGCACACTTTTGCTTGGCACCGGTTGCTGCTTTCTTGGGGGCTCTCGTTGATTACATTGGATGGTTTGATGGGTCGCAAAACTCGCTGGCAACCAGCCGCCAGCCCATGTCAATTTCCTGCAAGGAGTTCCGAACGCCGCTTGACTGTACCAGGCAGTACAAAGAAGCCCCCTGGATGGTGGATCACATGATCAGGGCGTTTGGTTGGACGTGGACATTTGGGTCGTTCTTTTTTAGATGCCCCCCAAAATGGCGGCTTTCTTCTTGGTTTCCCAGTAACACCAACCAACGTTGGGGCTCCCTCAGAACAAATCGACGCGCAACCCATTTTGGTTTCATCCCCAAGAGCCAGGACGTTTCTCGCTGAGATCTTTGATGTCTGCATTGCCGAGTGCCTTCCCACTAGAAAAAAAAACGTGGGCCCGCACTTTGGCAGACAACCGAAGCGTCTTCACCTGAGGAGACTTCCTGTTGGTTTCCTATAGTCGTCTGTTGTGAAACATGGAAGCTCACTGTTCGTGATCCTCATTGAATTGTTTGGGCCCTCGATTCAAGCACATGAGCAAGTGAGACCCACCAATTGCGAAAGAGATACACATCGATACCAAGATACATTCACGAGACTCAGCATGGATTCAAACAAACAGATTGGAGCTTGCAGGACATGATTTCTTTCTATCCCTTTAGAGAAATGATTTGACGGACACATTCGATAGGCGGCCAGAGAGGGGAGCAGTGAGTTCCATGGAAGCTCCCAACAGTCGCTGGGCAGATTTGGTTCCATTTACTCCCATTTGCTGAAATGGGTATTTGTAGCTTTCCCTTTTTGGTTTTAAAGGGAATCGATTTCACCACTGGAGGTATCTTCTCATCTTCTTTTTTTTTCCGGGGGCATTAGCGGAGCGTGGAAGTTTACAGTGGCCTTCTGGGAGCCTTCGGCTGGGAGTCAAACGACCAGAGCCGCAAGCGCCGCAGTTTTTTGTTCGCTTTCTCCGGGGGTGCGGGGTGGATTTTCTTGGGCGATAGTCGTAACGGATCTTTGGACCTCGGCTGGTTTGGTTCTGAAGCAGGTCGGATGAGCTCCGAATTGGACACACGCAAAGTTAAAACGCAGTGCAGAGGCGTCAACAGCAACCAAGTTTTGATTGTGACACCTTTTTTGGGGGCGAAACTTTGTTTTGGGCCAAAGACACCATTCATGCATAGGTCCGTAGGTGTCCTTTCAGGTCAGTCGGTCCAAAACTGCTTCAGTCTCACAGACCCCCGCGAGACGCCCAGATCAGGCGCCCTCAACTGGTGGTTTGCATTGGGTCTTGTGGGGTAAGTGGGAAAAAACACCTCGTAGCCACCAAACCACCGGGCTTCGGCTCCAAACCACCAAGTAGAGGGGAAGTGAATTTTTGGTGCTTTGGACCCTGGTTCTGATTTTTTGAACCTAGAGTTCATACAGGTTCCTTGGCTTCCCTGGTTTCCAACCCACCCGGACCCCTAATGAACCCCTTGTTTCCGCCCTCGACCCCACAAAAGTGGTACAAAGGCAGAAAGGAATCGGTCCTTTAAGAGTGCAGGCACTTTATAAGGGGTCTCATATACCCCTTTTGGGGCGAGGTATGAACATCACCCGGCCCTTCCTGGGGCTTCATTTGCGCTTGGTCCGTTGGCTTCTTCACTTCTTCCCTCGCTCCGCAGGGCTGGGGCCGCACCGTGATCACGGGCCGCGCTCGTTTGGGAGGCGAGAGAACGCATCGGATTGGTGAGCCAAAGGGAGAGCCACAGGAAAACCACAGGATGCTAAAGGAAAGGGGGTCCTTAGCACAGATGGGATCTTTTTTGGATTCCCAACTGTTTGGTCTGATTTGAGGGAAACCAAAGGGTGGTTCCCAATGGACAACATGCGTTTTCCCCCACAGCTGGAAGCTATGGGTGTCTCTGACCAGATAGGCTCCGGGGTGGTTCGGAGTAGGTTTCATGGAGGGTTCAAAGGGAGGGTTCCAAAAGCAAAAGGGGCTCTACCAAAAGTTTGGAAAGGGAAACCAAAGATAAACTACAAGCTTTTGGGGGTCCCCTTAAAAAAAAGAAAAAAACACGAAAGACCTTGACTCATCAAATGAGTCCAACTCGCAAGACATGTTTGTCCTTGACAATGATTACAAAAGGGAACCTTCGGAACAAGAGATACCCATTTGGTTGAATCCTTGAAATGTTAAGCACGGGGGCAGCGGGGGACCCGGGATAATGCGATGACCACAGTACCAACAAAGCACCAATCTCTTTCATGTTTCGGAAATCTAAAAACTGCATTCGCCGATTTCTGGGTCCGACTTTCGGCATCCAGCCACTTTTGGGCCGATGTCCTGCCAACCCGTTCAGGGTGCCAAAGAAGTGTCCTTAAAGTGCGGGGCGAGTGTTCAAAGGGGTCAGCAATCCAAAGGGCAACGAGATGCCAAATCGTGGCAGTGGTTTGGAGGAGTCGCTCCTTGTGGGGCTCGCCCAGATGGAGGCCCCCAAGGTTCTGGGCCGTGTTGTGTGCGCTCTTGCACAATTTTCAAGTGCGATGCAGACCGCTCACCTTGCAGGCTTTCATAGCTTGCATGAAGGACTCAGGCTGAAAGCAAGATTCATCGGGTCATGCATGGCTTTGGGCCCTAGGGTCAAACCTGAGGTGCTTCTCATTCTTTGGAGCTGCGACGTGTCCCCCAAGTACTAATTGCTGGACTTTTTTTCCGGAACTGCCAATGTCTCAAAGGTCTTTGCAGAGCACGGCAGAGCTGTTGGGAGATTTGATTGGTCCTATTCGGATGCCGTTCAACTCTGAGGGAGGTTACGCGCCAGGGTCTCAGCTGTTAGAACGTATTAGTTCTAGCTGCCAGCCGCCAAGCAAAAGCCAGGACAGCTCTCTACATGGTGATGTGTCTCTGCCCAAATGCCTTCTTGCTAGTTGGACCGGACTGTTCAAGCTGGACGGTGGTCTCGCGGGGTCCTCGTTGTGTTCAGCGGTCAACCCACGTGGCCGAGAGGGTGACTTGCCTGCTTGCAACTTGCAGAGGGTGGCCACGGTTGAACAGCCAAGGGTACAGCCAGTCCTCAATCGAGGTTGCCAGCATGGGTGCGTCTTCGTCTTCGAAACGTGTCAAGCAGCACATGGCTGCCAGACGGGAGCAACCAGAAGTGCGTTCGAGCTCAGACCCACGGACGGCGCGCACCAAAGCACAATCATGTGTGTAGGATTGCCACAACCCATTTGTTAGAACCATTCAGGGTTACCCAGTTGCTCGAATCCGTTTCTTTCCTGTTGTTGCACCTTCACCGCACTGGCCAGGCATACAAATCGAAGCGGGTAAAGGGTGCTGGCTTGTTTTTTCTCTTTATTGTTTTTTCTTTTTTCGGCAGCGCGACCTCAGCCGGGCTTGACTTTTGGAGTAACTAGAAGGTTGGAGATGCCTTGCAAAATGTAGGCCATTTACCTTTTGGTGCCATTTTGGTAGGTGTATTTGAGCCACTTTGCCATTTGAACAACCAGCTCCAACTTTCTAGCTACTCCTTGCCCGTCGGCATAGCATCGTCAGCCTTGCGGTTGATCCCTCCAACAAGCTGTGACTTCCCAGGCACCTGCTCACAACCTATGCTAAATTATGCTAACATGTTGTGTCTTATGTTTTCGAAGTTTGTTCACACCACATCCGTTGCTGAAGATGTTTTCTTCTCCCCCTGTTGGTGTTAAAGGACATCTGTCACTTGTGGCAAATGGAAGATCAATGTACAAACACAGTGATGACGTATGCAATGATTCAATGATGGTGTATGTACCATTGTTTTGCACTTACTTCCTGATTTCCTGGACTTGAAACTTTTTGGGAACACCATTGTGGTGCACTAAATACACCGGGCCCCACGCACGCACGTGTCCCCCGCACGGGTCGGACACCCGCTGGAGACTTGGAGGCATTCCAATGGGCGTCATCGCTGCCGGGTGGCCCAAAGGGATGGAAGAAATTGGCCCCAAAAGCTTCCATTTGCTGACACGTGTTTTTTTTCCTGTTGGTGTTAAAGGGAAACATGTTTTTTTTTCTTCTTCTTTTTTAAATAATAGTAAATAGAAACAACATAACATATTACTTTTATTTTCCTCTGTTGGTGTTCAAGGGTGCCGCAGATCACTACTGGGCATATGCTTTCCTGGGGACTTGAGCAAATGGAGGAAAGGTGATGCATAAAACCGCCAGAGAAGGGAACTATGGACTATGGGGTTTAAGCCTCGGGGCGGTTTAGTGGCTTTTGGTTGGTTTAGTGGTTGGGTTTCCGAATTTAAGCCACAGGTTGTTCACAAGTAGCAGGGTATCAGCGAGCAGCTCAGGCCTGCCGTTTCAAGTTGGTTCATGGCCCTTTGAACCTCAGAGTTCGATAAAAAGTGGTGCATGAGGTTCTCTCTTGTCCAGCTCTCTTCAGCTTTGGTTTCAAGCATTGATGAGGACACGCCCGTACTGTGGATGGTTGCGAAATCCATCTCGCACCACTTGGAAACCATGGGACCACCATTGTTTATGTTTTGTTGGTATTTACAAGGGAATCGAAAAAATCCAGGGTTCCTGAACGGTGGTGCAGGATTTCGTCCATCGAGACACTCCAGTACTATGCTGTAATTCAGGATTGGGGCATGACTGGCTCAATTTTTACCCTCAAGAATGGGGGACGGCACCCGATTCATTGCGCGTATGTCATGGTTTAAGAGAGGCTCCCGTACGACCACACATGTGGCATATCTTGACCTTGGGTAAATATTGAGGTGTGCAATGCACGCCCACACAACACCCCCCGTTACTTTGGGGCACTTTTGGGAGCCATTTTGAAACAAAACATTTTTGCAACAAAGCTACAAACCCCGCAAACACACAAGGGACTCGTCAATGTTCCAATCTTCCTCATTGGGTATCATGATATATTGGGACGATGGCTCGTATGTGTTTTTCTAAACTACAGAATGAAGGAACCCCACAAAGGAGAGATTGGCTGATGCTTTCGGTTTCCCTTGATAAGATTCACCTCCGCGGAGTGCTGTGACGGATGAGCCTGCCGCCGTGTACGACGTCGTCTCGAAGGAGAAATCCAACACCTGGGTCAACGGCGGAGAGGACGAATGCAAACTTGGCGTCGGCAGTTCGATGAGATCTCGGCGCCAGGAGGTCACATCGCTTCGAGGCTTCTGTTTCATGCTGCCCCGCTGGCCGTGCCCAAAAAAGGGTACCGGTTGTTCCGTGAAGGATGTGGCCCGAAAGGGCCGGTGATTGGCAAGTTCAGGGGTCGAAGGAATCCAGGCTTGTGCGAACCTGTTTCATGCTTTAACCAGTATTGTTTGAACATCCTGATAAAAGGGAATCCAGGGCCTCGTAATAAGTTTCCTGATTGGATCATGGTCCTTTGCTTGACTGCTATTGGGCTGGATCTTTAGATTTTGCCACCAAACCAAGGGACCCGCCTTCCGCTCAGATTCCCGGAGATCAAATCCATGGGATAGGTGACCCCCAAGACATGGTGGGGCCCCGTTTTCCTTTTAAAAAGACCAACCCAAACAGAGGGGCAGCCTCAAAAAAGAGAAGCACGCACACACACACACACACACACACACACACACACACACACACACACACACACACACACACACACACACACACACACACACACACACACACACACACACACACACACACACACACACACACACACTACCACGCACGCACGCACGCACGCACGCACGCACGCACGTGCACGCACGCACGCACGCACGCACGCACGCACGCACGCACGCACGCACGCACGCACGCACGCACGCACGCACGCACGCACGCACGCACGCACGCACGCACGCACGCACGCACGCACGCACGCACGCACGCACGCACGCACGCACGCACGCACGCACGCACGCACGCACGCACGCACGCACGCACGCACGCACGCACGCACGCACGCACGCACGCACGCACGCACACGCACGCACGCACGCACGCACGCACGCACGCACGCACGCACGCACGCACGCACGCACGCACACGCCACGCACGCACCACACCCACCCACCCACCCACCCACCCACCCACCCACCCACCCACCCACCCACCCACCCACCCACCCACCCACCCACCCACCCACCCACCCACCCACACACACACACACACACACACCATGGGCTTGTGAAAGCTAGGTACTTCGTAAGTGGTGTAACCATTGGTTATAACCCGCAAAAGCCATGGTTACAAGTCTCCTACGTAGATGGTGGGACTTAGCTAAATGGCTATATAGTAACCCTGGTTACCGGGGACTTACAACCATTGCTTTGGTAGGTTACAACCAGGGCAAAGCTAGCCATTTAGCGATCCAGACGATCTAAGTAACTGTTTAACCACTTGTTAAGAGTCTCCCAAGTGTTTACTAACCACCCCTTACCATGGTTTCGCGTCTCCTAAGTGGTTCCTAACCACTTGCCCCAAGTGGCTGGCGTTAATCCACCCGCCCGATGCAGCCGGGTGGAGGTGGAGACTCGCTCGGTGGACCGCCTGGTGCCGGCAGACCCCTCCAACGCTGAGAGCTGCGAGGCGCGACAGAACCGCGCGAAAGAAAGAGAAACAACTTTTTTGTTTTTCCCCTCTTAAACAAAAAAACAACATGAATATATATATATATTGTTCATTTAGTCAACGTTTTTTCAGTTTCTCCTTTTTTTCAAAGTTTATTCAGGTTCTTTTTTGTATATTTGTTTTCACTGTTTTTTCAGTTGTTCTTGTTTTTCAGTCTTTGGTCTGGAAAGAAGCCTACTGCTTAAAGGGGCGATCGGGAACGTCGTTTTTGGTCTGGACATTTATTTCTCCTGGGTGTTCTCTCATTTCTGGCTCATGAGTGGTTAGCAACCAAGGTTGCCCACTGAACCCCATCGCCCCTTGCGGGTAATCCTTGTCAGGCGAAAGGTGAACATCGGGAAAAGGCCTTTTGGAGCTCCAGAAGCAAGCCACTTTTTGGAATTCCGCCAAGCTGGTCGAGGTCAATAAATGGGTAGGTCTCGCTGAAATGAAAATTTGTGTTATTGTCACCCTGTTGGTGTTAGAGGGAATCAATTTCACTACTGGAGGGGCGCATTCGCAAATGGAATAAAAAACATCTAAGTGGTGGTTTAAAGGGAAGGCACAACCAAAAACTCCCGACCAAATCTTTATGGAGATTTGCTGCTTGGATCTTTGGGCTGGACAACTTTTTGGTTGAAACAGGTGGGATTTTCTGAATTGAACACAATAAGTTTTGCACTTTTTGCAGAGGGGTCTCGCCAGCAACCAGGATAATGTGTTCCAGTCACACTGTGGATGGTTACGAAATGCATTTGGCACCAGCGTTCAGAAACTCTGGTTTCTGAGTCGATTCCCCTGTACATACCAACAAGCGCTATGGTTTCAACCATGGTTTCTCATACTAAACGTTTGATGGTCCAATAAACTAGAGCTCGGTTTATACCAGTTGCTCATATTTGTGCCATCGAAAGATACGTTTGGAGTTGGTATAGGGATGTCAACATATGCTGCGCCAGTTGGGTGGTCTATCCCAGAAGTCGTAGGGTTTCATCCATCCCAACTGGTGCAGGATTTCGTTTGTCCTCAGTAGGTTCCCCTTGGGTTTCAGTGGAACATGCCACATTTGAATTCGCAATTGGTACGGTCCAACCGATTCCCATAAGAATAGGACAAGTATTTTTTGGATGACAATCCCTAGGTAAACAACAACGTGGCCAGGGCGACACTTGTTGGCTATTTCAAGGTCCACTTCAACCGGTCGACCGGTTGATTTCCCCCGAACACCCCGGGGATTGGGGTAGCCCAAAAGTGGGGACCCCTGATCTTCCCCAGAATTAGCTCCCCTTTTCCTTTTTTGCTTTTTTGGTGGGTCCCCTTTGTGTTCCACGAACCAGGCAACAAAAATGGAGTTTTTTGCTGGGGTAATTCCAGCCAAGTGATGGGGGCTGCCATTCTTCCGGAGCCCGGCGGACTGGATCGATTTTTTGTTTGTGGTGGGGGGCCGGGGGCAGAGACCAAAGGGACCGGAAGGCCAAGAGAAACGGCAGGAACCCACCTGGACCTCAGAAACAGGTCGCCCAAAAATCGGTGGGGGGAAGTTGGAGGAGCCTTTGTTGGTTTGAACGGTACCCTCCCAAGAACGAATGGAAGGAACCTGGAGGAAATCGATCTCTTCCAGTCCCTTTCAAGTTGTGTACTTGCTTTATTGCTGGTGCGGTAGAGAATGATCGAGTTTCCGGGTGTTGGGAATGAACCGGAAGCATTCCCTTAAAGGAAACCACCAGTTGGATGGTTTATGGGGGGTCAATCCAACTCAGTCCCTGCCTATCGAACCAGGAAGTTTGTGAGAGGCTGCTCCCAAATTCACTTGAAGCTTGCCAAAAAGGGTGCCCCAAACGGACATGCTTTTTGGAGTTCCAACAAGTTGATCTGACGCAAATAGGTACGTCTCAAAATGAGGTAGCCTGCAACAAGAAGGAAGTCCTCAAAAAGTACTCCCAACAAAAAACCGCCCCCCCCCCCCAGGTTGCTGCGGCTGTTGGCTTCCGTTGCCATTTCCCGATTTCTTGGCACCAGCTACGGAATTCCGCAATGCCCGACCATGTTCCTTCGCGATTGCCACATCTTGCTACCAGCCAACCTGGCCATTGGATTGCGAGCAGATTGCCACCAGCTGGGTGTGTCCGTTTTTAGGGGAAGCCCACCATCAAAATGGCGGTTTTCCAATTGGTTTCACTTCAAAGCCAACAAACCTGGCACCCAAGAAAGAGGCACCCAACTACCCATGATCGTCACGTTTCGCTCCCTTTTCCCAGCCCGCAGGTCAAGGATACGATGGGAGGGAAGGCTGTGGCCTGGGGCCGGGGAGGTTGTAGACACCAAAAGTAGAAGCAAAGAGAAACAAGAAGGCCAAAACAAGAGGGGCTGCGTGTTTTTCTCCTCTATCTCTTTTTTTTTTTGGGGGGGGGAGGGGTGAAAGTCCCCATACGAGTTTGTGTATGTCCTTTTCTGGTGGGTTTCCCTTTTACATTCAACCAGGAGGTTTACCGTGGGCTCGAGTTTTGTTGGGCAAGTGGTTGGGCGTGTCTTTCGCCTTAGACGTCGGCTTTTGGTTCAGATCCATCGGTAGTCTCATAAGCCTCCGATTTGACAAACTTTGGATCCCCTGCTTCCGTTAGGCCTCTCGGGGCCGGATGAACATGGAGCTCAAAGTTGGAGCTACAAAGGATTGCTTCCTGGGTCCCAGAGAAATGGGATTTGGGCAAGGGGTCAGCCGCGCACGTTGGGTCGCTCTCTGTGTGGACTCTTGCAGGCGGGCTTAAGGCCTTGGTGTATCCCATGTAGGTACATGATGGTCTGTCCATGAGAGGAAGTAAGGGTATTTAAACGTACATCTATACAAACAAACAAATATATGGTACCCCCCCCCCCCCCGCAGGGACCTACCTTTTTGAAGACTTCACTTGTATTTGCAGGGTTTGTTGCTCTTTTTGGGGCCTTGGGGAAAGCAGCAAACACAAGTGCATTTCCAAGGACATCATGGAAGTTTTAGGCACGACTCAAATGTCAATCGGTTTCCATCGAGGCCCAGATTTGAATTTGAGTCTCCGTAAATATTTTAGATCTAGGGCCAGATTCAAGATTCCAGGCCAAACTTTTCCAGGGAATCTTGGATCTTGAATCCATGCCCAGACTTAAATGTCAATGTCCGAATAATCATTTTCAATCTAGGCAAAGTGCTCGGCTGTGTAAACTATAAATGAATTGTAAAGTTCTATTGGGAAAATATGTCTATCTGAATTGTAAGTTTAAGATGTCGAACAAGTAATCAAATCAAAGTTAGAGAGCGGTCGTTGGAGATTGAATTGAGCTGAAACACGCTAGGTGTTTTCGTGCTAGGACTAGTAAAACAAACGGAATGTTGGGACCTCTCAATTCTTCCGTTATGAATTATACTTACTGTAGTATCTTTGTCCAAATTATACTCAGTTTCCAACTGACATTAAATATAATTTAATAAGGAACGACTCCAGTCAGAATTTCGATGTTAAACTGACTTTAAATAGTGATTGTTCTGTTTCAACTTAAATGTCACACAGGATATCCTGTCCTATAGAATCGGTTTTACAAATCAGACAACATTTAAATTCAAATAATCTAGCATTTTTAAGACGTCTGAATTATCTCTTCATTAGTTATACTATATACAGTTATACCTTGTATAATTATCAAGTTCTACCTAATGTCTATTTGACATTGTGTAGAATTTGATAAGGAGCTACTCCAGTGTTAAATGTTGACTATTCTACATATTTATCATTATTTTGAAGTCAAATGTTACAAAAGATCTCCACTGCAATAGAATATCATACTTGAAATTCAATTTTCTAGTTTGGTCCTAGTTTACTGAATAATTAGAAAGTAAAAGGGACGTTACAGAGGAAGTTATACTTGAAGTTCAATTACTATAGCAATCAGAGGCAGATCGTCTAGTCCTGTTGGGTCCTAGTCCTAGTTGAGAGATCATTGGTTCTAGTCCTATTTTGTCCTACAAAAAGTAGGTCCCGGAAAGGAGGAGGTAGCACATATATATATATATATATGCTACTCCCCCAACAAACAAAACAACACCACCTAGGTTTCAGCAGTCTTCAGTTGTTTTTTTGTTTCAATATAGACATATTTATTGATTGAATCTGTCCTTATTATATTGTACTGTCTAATTGAACTGTCATTAAAGTCATCTTTGGGCTACACATTCTATTTGAACTGGTTTCCTTGTACAAATCCAGTACAGTTTATATTCAAATTCTGATTCAACATATAAATGCTGATTGAACTGCTTATCTTATATGAATCCATTAAAGTTCAAATTCAAGTTCTAATTGAGAACCTACATTACAATTGAACTGGTGTGATTAACAAAAACATTAAGAAACATCAAGTATAATTTACATCAATTTCCATTGAGTTATGTCCGTATTAAACTGTTTTTATGTTTGACACATATTTGGGAATGAATTCTTATTCAAATTATATGTTACGAGGCCAATTGAAGTCTTTAACACTCTACTTGTTCTTTTTTCTTTTTTCTTTTTTTTTCTCTTTTAACTCCTATTTTGGAGAATATTTCCTATTGAAACTCTAATCAAACATAGAAATGCTGGCAAACTATGTCCTTGCTAAATTCTATTTCAAAGTTCCATTGAGTTAACATTCTATCGGGAGAGGAATTCATATTTGGACATGCCGGGGCTCCAAATCGTGAGGCTTCCCACAAATAGATATTTCAAGGATTCAGATCTCCAGATGCTAGATTTCAGGTGCAAAATGGAAACTTCAAGGCATCAAAGGTCCAAATTCTAAAACCCATATCAAAACATAAATTCAAGTTAAATTAGCGGAGGTAGTAGATGAGCAAATGTGGAAAGGTAGTTCATGGGGAGGTGTGAGCATACATATATACCTACATATGGTATCCCCCTGCGCACCTGCGCCTCTTAATAAGATGCTGTAAAGTACAGCGTTTGCGAGCATTGCTTCTGCATTTTCTACTTCCTTACAAAGGGTAAACACAAGAATAGCTTAGATGAAGCAAAGGGCTCACTAACAACAACTTGAAAAGCTTGAAAGTAATCTACCACTGACTCGAGATTCAAGATAGACTATTTCACGGAAATGTTGTCTGAGAATCTTCAATCCGGCCACCCCAAAATACTTTGTTGTTTTTGCCAACAACTTGGAAGTAGTTTTCCACTAGTTCAAGATGTCAGATTTCACAGAAAGGTGTTTCAATAGTCTTGAGAAAAACTGTTGGGCCCGTGAAAACTCCCAACAGTAAAGTGGTGTTTCACTTCAGCCAGTTTTGCTTCTTTTTTTTAAACTTTTCCCAATAAAAGTAAAAACAACCTTAGTTGCTTGTACTTTTTCCCAATACGCTAATCAAACACCCTGCAAGAAGTAAAACTTGTCTTGTTTGTGTGTGTTCTGTTTTGTTTTTTAAATCTTACGTTTGGGGCTGGTTTTTACTTTTTACTTTTCTTGGGTTCATACGTTTGTTTTCACTTTTACCGGGGAAAAGTAAAAGCACAAGAACGTAGAAAAGTAAAACAAAAACAACAAACACGTTTTGGGGTCGAAGATTTCACCGGGAGTTCTCTCTGGGACTCCGGGAGCGCCTCATTTCGCTTCAGGTGTGGTTCCCGGACAGCGCCTTCAAGACGGCGCAGGCGGAACCTGCCTTGGTTCGATAGGCAGATGAGTTGGAACCCCAAGAAAAACCTGGCCACTGTTGTTTGCCTACCCCAAGAAAAAACGCCTGCCTGGCCACCTTTTTTTTGTTGGCCTCAGGATTGCCAAAGAAACACCTGGCCACTTTTTTTGTTTGCCCAAGGAGTATCATCCAAAAAGGAGTCCTATTCTTAGGGGAATCGGTTGAACCCTACCATTTGCGAATTCAGATGTGTCATGTTCCCCTGGTTTCAGAGGGAAACTGTGGACGAAATCCATTTCCCACCAGTTGGGATGGATGAAACCTTATGAGTTCTGGGAACAACCCAGGATTTCGTCCATAGTATGGCTGGACATATTTTGGTGCTTGTCTTGCTGCTTCTCAGCATGGAATGAGTTGGAGTGACCCCAAGAAAAACCATCCCCGAGTTGGCTTCCAGGGAATCCCTTGGTTCATTCCCAACACCCTGGGTCATGCGCTACTGAGCACCAGCAAGCTTCAGGCCGTAGGCCCAGCGCTAAAGATTCAACTTCCAGTTAGAGCCCCGGACTCAACAGCCGGGTGAACGGATGAATAGGGAGAATCCGAACCATGAATGGGTGCCTTCGCCGCCTTCTTGGTTCCTTGTAGACTAGTACGACCCATTGGCGTTTCAGCAAGAAGTGTTTTTTTTCTTCTTCCCCTGCTGGTTTTAAGGGAGCCTTTTTACAAGTTACTTCGCTCATGTACACGGGACTTGAGCAAGTGGAATTTCAACATCCAGATCAGTTGAGGCAGATGAAACCCTATAAGCAGTGGGATGAACCACCTACCAACTGGTGGAGGATCTTGTTCATCCACGGCACTGTTTGCAGAACCTCCGTTTCACTGCATTTTTTGGATGGGAGTCAGCCTACCTTCAGCTCCCGAAGAGTTCCAGGAGCCCGTTTCACCTGCCACTTTCACCGGAACCCAGCGGAAAAGATAAGGAAGAAATGACCTAAGGACTGGCCGTTAACTGTCTCTCTATTCCTCAACCAAAATGATTATTGACGGATATTATTGAAAACCAAGAATTCTAGCCGTTACGACATAACCCTAATCAAGAGATTTCTCCAAATGCATTCACATTATCCTTTCCTACGTCTCTAAGACTCACCAAGTAATGAATGGCTTTTCTCTTGTCCATCAAAGATCCTATTATCTGGATGCTGTGTAAGGAATAGACTCTGAGGCAATAATCTGAGATCTTAATGTAAACTGCTTCTAATCCTATTCCTTTCATCTGTCTATCATTGTGTCAAAGAGCGTGTCCAGAGGCAATGCGCTGGAGTTGCGACCAGAGTCCACTAGGAACTTCCTTAGTTTGGGTCCCCGGTCGCCGAATCGTGTCTGTCTCATTCTTGTTTTTTGTTTTTTTTTCCCTAGCGCTTCCTTTTTAACATGGGTCTCTTGGCACATCTGCCTTTCTTTCCCATGGTTTTGGTTTATCCATTTTTTTTGGGGGGGGGTCTTTTTGCCACCTTTGGCGAGAAAATTGGCGACCCCCTCAAAAACGAATCCTTCACTACGAGGGGGTCGATCATTTTTCCACGAAAGCTGGCCCAAAAAAGAAAGAACAAACAACACCTTGATCCCTTTCGGTGCCCGTTTTCTGTGAAGCTTTCGAGGCATCGCCGCTTCGGATTCGCCGCTTCGTTCGCCGTTTTGGGCGCCTGCCGAAACCCCGGATCTGGGGCTTGAGGCGCTCAAGGACTTCAACCGGGGCGAGAACCTGCCAGCCCGGACCTTGTTTTTGGCCGTGAGGGGGGGGGCTGGGGGGGCTGGTGTGCACCAGCCATGGGCAGTTTGGTTCAAGACCGATGGCACTGGTTTAGATGGGTTTTATTCCATCTACCAAGGGATAGGTATTTGCTCAAAAGGCCAGCTATGGTACCAGCACCCCAAGAAACTGTTTCTTCCTTGTCCGACATCCTAAATAGTGTGCATAAAGCAGTTGTTGCAGGGTGCTGGTACGAGAGTTTGTTTGAGGCAACCTATTCCTTTTGGGGCCAAAGGGAAACCATCAAAAACCACCATTTCGGGGGGTGGGGTGCCAGAACTTGGGGGGGAAGGAACACCCAGAAAGCCTTTGTACAAGTCTTTTAAAGGGGTCCGTTCAGGAGCTTCCATGTTAGCCTGGGGGCGAGTTCGTGTCTTTCTTGAGGGCTCCGTTTTTGTTCATTGTTCTTTTCTTTTTTTTGCGGGACGAAAGGGAAAATCACAATTTTACAAATCCCCTATCTTGAGACAAGTTCCTATTCCTTGGGTCGTTCTTCAACATTCTGCGCACTGTAACTCCGCATAAACTTCGCACTCTGCGAATATCCCATCAATGCGAATAACCCATCAATGCGAAGAAGTAAATGATAATTCCAGCAAACCAAGTATTAGGATTCAATCAATATGCAACATAAGATCTAGCTCGTCCAAGATGTAGAAATATAAAGATAAAGACAAATGATGCACCACTAGAATGATGATAACGTAAACACCATCCATCAGCCATAAACATCCGTGTGGCCAACGGAGCTTTGACATCTGCTGGAAGCGCGCGTTTAAAAACAAAAAAGACCGTATCTGGGGTGATTTCTTTCTGGAACATGAACATGAGATGCCAAACAGCATAGCCTTTTAGGTGCAGCCCTCCTTTTTCCCCAACAGCTGGAAACTATGAGGTCGCTGCCCAGATAGGTGTGGGGTTTGGGGCAGATTTCAGGGAGGGTTCCCGGGCTGGGTATACCACCTGGCCTGATTTGAGTTGCTCTTTTCCCAGAGGTTTGAGGGGCGTGTCTACATTCTTAAGAGTTGAAAGCCAATTTCTCTCCAGATTGACACGGAATGCCAAGAATCAACTTCCATGGTTAGTTAGCCTGCACTTGTTTTTGGGTTCCAGGGGAATTTGCCTCCCGTTTCTGGGAGGTTTCAAAGGTGTTTTGCTGTATGTTCAATAATGATCAGGGTTGTTGTATGGCAAAAAATGAAGTGAGAGGTGTTTCTTTTGGGTTCTGCCAGAAGGGGTTTGACTTCTAGCTCTTTTCGCCAAAGGCGCCCCCGAAAGGTCCCGAAAGACGGAAGCGATTGGCCCCATGGACTTCGTCACCGCGGAGCGAAGGAGGCACAGAAAGCCGTTGGCGATGACCTCGCCGGCAACAAACCGCAAGGACGAGATGCAGGAGGTCTACAAGATTGCCTTGCATAAACAGCGCTCACTGCCAGGTTACAGCCCCTGGCTTGTGAGTGACTTGTAACCACTTCTGATGCTTCCTTGTGACTTCAGGAGGATTCGGGGTGGGGTTTTCAAGGTTCTTCATGGACATGTGCCGGGCTGCGATTTTCCTCTCTTTGCATGGGAGGAGCTGAAATCGATTTCTCTGCAGAACACAGAAGTTCCAGCAACCATGCGCTAAGTACGAGCGTTGTTGGCTGGTTCCCAGCCATCTGGTCTGTTGGGTTTTAGGTGTTTTGGTTTTCTAATCGGTTTGGGCGTAGTTTCCACCAAACCACACGTTAGACTTTTAGTTTGCAGGGGATCGACGTGGAGCAGCCCAGCCTTTCTGAGCATTTGGTGTGTGTGTGTGTGTCCAGTTCGCGGCCAGCTCTGAGGCCACCATTTCCGGAGATGCATGTATGTGCAGATGAATCCATGCTTCTTTTTTCTGATGCTCGGTGCCCTCCTTTGGGAATCCATTTTGGGGGTCCCGGGCAAGCCAGCCATTTCAACGTTGGAGCAGCGTGTCTGACCATTTATTTGGAGGCCTTGCAATGGGTGCTGGGTCTGCCGAATCTGTTCAAACCATCATGCTGTAGATGGTTGCGAAATCCGCGAGTCTCACACCACGACAAAATATACAACAAAATAAAACAATGGGAATGAAACCAAAACGTTTTGTTGTATTTGCGTTGGGGAATCGACCCAGAAACCAGGGTTTCTGAACGGTGGTGCGAAATGGATTTCGAAACCATCCAGAGTGTCCCTCGTTGAAGCCCCCTGGGATTGAACAGGAGACTTCAAAACTCAGTCAGTAGCCAGACGAGCCACACTTTCAGCGTTGTTTTTTGCAAACCCATGTTGCTTAATCAGTCGGATTCTTTACGCAGGACCACCCAAGATCCAGCAAATGCCTTCAGCAGTGTGACAGATGACCAACAAAACAAGAACGAGCGCATCCATTTTAATATGTCCAAGTCTGAATTCTGACAAAGCATGCAAGCAGCAGGACATAGTTCAGGAGGGGTCGTGTGACGTACCTCGCTTTGCCTCATCCCGTTGGTCTCGATCGGACGATCAAGACCACAGCGGTTTCTCTTTGCTACATTCCCTTGACACACGCCTCGTAATGCTGGCCCGGATTCATTGTCGGATTCATGAACAGCGGCCACACAATTCGTGGGGAGCTTCCTTTGGCAAGTAGGGAACCTGCTGCCTCTCTCTAGGGAACCCTTTGGTATCCCTTTCGTTGGGAGCCTAAAGTTGGATGTTGTTGGAAAGTGGTCAACGGAGGCGTTACCTGAGTGGTTTGAAGTGTCAGCAAAACGGGCCAAGGAAATCGATGGCGAATCGAGCGCCAGGTCATCATCTTCGCAAACTGGCGGGGCTTCTCTGGTGGCACCCGCCGAAGCCTCGGCAAAGCAAATCTGTACGCGGCCGTTTTTTTTTTTTTTCTCCGGGGAAGGGGGGTGGCTATGGGCCAATGGGTCCCCCCCAAAAATAGGCCAACACCAGCAAGGGTACCGGCTCCCGCCCAAAAAAGACAGACCCAAGTCACAAAGAGCGATCCCTCATGGGTGCCAATCAGGTCATCAAGGTCCATGGGCCAGTTCCGACTCGGGGTTCCAGGTCCCTTATAACCTTTCTTAGGGGGAGGGTTCTGCCTACGTAAATAGACAACAGAAGAAAAAAGGCTGGTGCCCTGATTCCATCCTCTCTACTGGACCTAGGATTCCACCGGAAGTGTGGTGCTCGGTGTCCCAAGTTTCCTGCGCCTGGTGCCATGGGAACCGTAGGGTGAGGCCAAAAAACGCCCCCGAAGGCGAAGTTTTTTTTGCTTTGAATCGGCTTTCAGGAGGCTGTGCAAGTCCTTCAACCTCCTGGAGCCCCCCCCCCATTGTGACACAAGCTTGTGGATGGCGTGCAATCTGTGTTTGAGCCATGTTTCTTTTCTGCGTCGATGCTTGGAAAAGCGGTGTTTGCGGTGGTTCGTGCTCGCTGGGGGCTCGTTCAACACACAAAGGTACCCCAAGATTTACCGCCTTTCTTTCTATGGGCAGGGTTGCGGGAAGCCATTCCAATTCCTGGAATACCACGAGCATCAGAAAAAGGTGGCATGGCCGAGTTCATTTGGAATCCAGCTTGTTCGCATTTGAAGCAAGGGCACTGAGATGGAATCTCTGCATGAGGGGCCTGAAGAAAACCACCCAAAAGGGGTTCCCCTAAAAAGAGGCACACCCTGCTCTCGTCGGAAAGCGTCCGCCCGATTCTTCGGGTTCCACCCAATCCCCGAAGAAGTCTTCGAGTTTTCGAGTTGGGACGCGTCGCTTCGATCGAGTGGTTGCTTTTCAAATGCACTCCCAAAAAGGGGAGGGGGAAGCGCTGTGGATGCCCCGAGAACAAAAAGCATATACTTCTAGAAACTTTCCGCTCGATGTTAAGTATAACAAAATTGGAGGAAACACATGAAGACAACAATATCAAGCACTTGCAACATTGAGTTGGCATCCACCGTATCCTTGGATGTTCGATTCGCCAAGTTAAGTGGTTAGCCATTTGTGGCTTGTCACCCCACAATGACAAGTTGTTAACCTCTGCAGTGAACGGGGGACTTACAAGTGGGTCATAACCGAACGGTTACCGGAAACAACTTTCTACTTTGGCGAATCGAGCACCCCAGTAGGTTGGGTTTATTGGCAATGGCCCCCATCACACAAGCCCACAGCAAAATCGACCGGATCTGAGCTTTTGGTGTTCCAACTTTTCACCATGGGGGACAGTTTCTGTTACCCACTCCAGTTTTTGGGGCTCGGATGTGAACCCACCTGTAAATTCTCCCAGCAGGGTTGATCAAACGGTCCGGTGAACATGGGACCATCAGGGAAGCCAGACAAATCGAGTTTCTCCACATGGCAAGGCAACCCGCATGTGGGTGCGTCGTTTTTCTTAGAAGAAGGGGTTCCCCTTTTGACCGGTTTTAAAGGGAAGCTAACACGAAACCGTTACCATTTTTTGGGTTGTTCCTGTGCCTTAGTTGGCCGGCGAAGCGGCTGTCTCTCTCTCAGCCCTCGTTATACAATCGGGACCTAAATGGTAATACAATCATATATGTATGTGTGTCATTACACTAGGGGTTGTGGCTACATGAATGACAAATCCGCATAAGTGTGGTTTCCCCTCTTAAAAAAAAAGAAAGAAAACAACAACAACACATTTTTACATTTTTCTCGGGTGGTTTAACTGCCTCACAACCTGTATCAGCGAAGAGGCCCAAACAATCAGGCCGATTTGCTCTTAGGCTGACGTTTCATGGGAAAAAGAAAACGTGTGCGCTGTTTTTTTTGGTGTGTTAGCCTAAGGGGAAGCCCAAAGAAAAAAAGTGTGCGCCCCTTTTTGGACTTTTTGGTGTGTTAGTCTAAGGGGAAGCCAAAAAAGAAACCATGAAATCGGGTCCACCCATTTTGACGGAGGCGACATGTACAACGAGATCCTCAAGTTTGGGGCCACTGGACTGGCAGATAGGGCGGAGGTGGGGAAGGATTGGAGGGAAGGGGGTGCTTGACGGTGGGCGATGCTTTTTTTCCCCTTCTGGGGATGGTTTTTTTGGGGGAAACAAAAAGGACCACCAAACTTGAGGGTTGATTCCTGGGATCCTGGAGTACAATTGTCCTCGAAAGGGAACCTGTGGGTTCCATTTCACTCGGGAGGACTTGCCGCTCGTAGTTCAAACACGCCTCGTCCTGGACGGACGAGGCGATCATTTTCAAACGGTGACTTGAAAAGGAGGCTCCGGACCGGACGGTGTTGCAGGCGCTGGATTCTGCACAAGAAGGGGACCTCACGCGGTTTGATGTCTTCGCAACCAGGGTTTTTTCAATCCGGGGTTAAGAAAACTGTGTGTTTTCGCCTAGTTGCGGAATTGATGCATAGGAGTTGGGGCTTTGAGTATGGTCGTCTTGACTCCGAAGTTTACCCTTTTAGGCAGGGACCCCGTTTTTCGGAAGCTGGCTGAAAAAAAAACAGAAACAGGAGCAAATCGCGAATCAATTGGTTCCGATTCTGTTCTACAAAGTTCAAGATGTCAAAACCATGGATACGCATCCAAAGTTGTGGTTTTCCATCCCTCAGGTTCTGCCAATGGTTGTCCCTATGGGTATCGGCAGCACTGTCACCCTTGCTGAGGCTATGATCGTGGACGCCCTGGTGGAGTGCCCCCGAAAACGCTGGGTCTGCGCACGCTGAATAGCCCATAGTTTTGTTTCAGAGGAAACCGACGGGAAATTTGCAAGTTTTCAATTTGTCCAGGCCCCATTTTTAACTGCCTTTAAATTAACTTTCTAGGACATGGCAAGAGCTTGCCTGGGCACTAGCGAAAAGCTCAACTTTTGCAGGGTCAAAGGCCAGAGTCGCTTGCCTTATGACTGGGCAAAGGGGTGTTCCCTTAGAAGGGTGTTATCAATCTGAAGCGAACAGGGCCAGTGGGAACTGTACGTGCCATGCTCAAAGCACCTTTTTGCTTGGGGGTCGCTAGCAGTGGTCATCAGCCAAGAGGAATTTTGACAAGAAAACCGTTTCCATGGCTCACACAAGGAGTTTGACCATGCATGGTGTTAGCGTGTTTCCTAACACCGAGCATCATCGACCCCATGAGGGTTACTAGGGAGTCCCTAAGGGGGGGGGTTCAAGAGGGGGGGGGATTCCCTAAGGCCTCAGGAACCGTGAGAAACCGTAGGGCTCGCAACTACCCACCCTTGCCCCCCCTGAGGGATTTCCATAGGTTTACAAATGAAAACAATTTCCAGGATCCAGCTGCTTGTGCAGCCAAGCACGTGGGGGCTGCGTCATTCGACGGAGGGCGTGCGCAATTATTGGAGCCCTTTTTGGATGGTGTTCAAAGGGGACGCACATGTGAATCACAGGGGAAGCCCAAAGCAAACCAACCAGTTGGAGGAGGTCGGTCCGAACAGGGTTGGCTGCAAAACAACTTAAATAACCGTACTCAGAAAACTTCTGGGATGCCCATTTCCGACAACCTGCCCCAGTCTCGTCCAGTTCATTCAGGAGCTCGGCAACGGGGAAACTGGACACAGCTTTTCGTTTTTTTCCTCAATGCGCAAGTGTCCCTTGGGGCTGGCTAGTCAACATGCATGCTGCCCGAAAGTCAGATGTTCCCGGGAGTGCTCCACTCATAAGGGTGGTTCCACTTTGAATGCGTGGCGATGAAATGGCATGTTTTTCTGTCCTCCTATTTTTCTGTTGGGGGACTCCCGTGTGCGCAGAAAAAGAACGGGGGGTGGGGTGGAATAAAAGGTGAAAAATGAAGGTTCGGTACCAAAAAGCGAAGGGTACCCGCAAGAGAGGCTACCCAGAAAGAGAGGCTACCCAAAAGGGGAAGGGTCGAGAAGAGGGTTTGGAGGGTGAACAACTACTGGATACTCCCGCAAAACAGGCGACCCAAAAGCAAAGGCTGCCAAAAAAAGGGTTGAACAAGGGTAGGTTGAGAAGTAGGTTTGGCGGGCGAAAAAGAACTGGCTACCCCCCGAAAAACAGGCTCCCTTGAAGAATCTCATCTTGGTACCCCACAGATGCCTTCTGTAAAAAGGAAGGCTACCCCCAAAAGAAGAAAGGGAAACCAAAAGGAGACCAAGCGCCTTTTGGGTTCCCAGGGTAACAATAGTTACTACAAGGAAGGGTTGAGAGGGTTAACAGAAACTAGCTACCCCTGACAAAACAAGCTACCCGAAAAGAAAGGACCAGCAGCCCAGTCTTCTGAGGGGTTTGTTTCAGGTTGTCAAAAGGACCCCAGAACTGGGGGCTCCAAACAACCCAGAAAACATGGTCGGCCCATTTTGGATCAACGACCATCCTGAACGGCAAACAATAGTTGTTAGTTATATTGAGCCCAACACCTTTTTTTTCATGGTGGTAGCTGAGCCCCAGGGTTAACATGGAAACTGGCGAGCAAGACTTGGTTCCCAGCCATCCTGTTCTTCAGGTTGTTAGGCTTTTCGTTGGACTTTCAGTGGGTGTGGTGGTCAAAAAGCAGGTAGACACAAAAGCTCGGCTGCCCTGGCATTTTCCCAAAAAGATGCAGCCCACTGGTGTATATACCAAAAACGGCCCGGGAAATAGACAAAAGCCCAACCAACACCGCTTGGCTACCCCACCCCTTCCCAACGCGCGTCCGAAAAAAGCGCGTCCGAGTCCGGCCCGTTAAACGGGAAAAAAGCCAAAACCGCGAGTCCGACTTTTGGAGGTACCGGCACCCCATCTTCATCTACATCCCCAAGCACGGGGAGCTCCGGGGCGGCGCCTGGGTGGCGCGGACCCCAGAGAAATTCACTGGTGGCCGCTGAGGGGTGGCATGAGTTGGTTCCGTTCAGTAGTCTGCAAGAAAAAGGCACGTCGTTTTGGTGCATGTTCAGTAGGGGGCTGCAAAAGTCGAGCGTTTTTTCTGGGATCATGCCAGGGGTTGGGCAGAAAAGATCGTTCCAGCTTGTTTGGCTTGTTGAGTGCTGGGTTCAATCTTTCGGGAGCGGGGAATGGGGAATCACATTCTCCATTGTCCACTTTGTTTGGGTGGGGCCTCGCGGAGAGAACTTGCACAGGGAACTTACAAAGTGAGCTTGCGCAGGCCTACTTCAATAGAAACACAGAGAAGCTTGCACGCACACCCACACACACACACACACCCATACGCGCACAAGCACACACCCACACCCATCCACACACAGGATTTGCCTTTCCAGCGCTTGTGTGCTCTTGTCTCAGACTTGGGGTTTATGCTTTTAAGCTACGGGTTTCAGTTAATTACTTTGTTTGGGCGGGCAAACTTTTTTTTCTATTTGAGGGAGTGGCGACTCCATGTTCATTCCTGAAAGCATAGCGAAGGGACTTGCGCGGGCAAGCTCGCGCGAGCACACTTGCGAGCGCACTTGCAAGACGAGCAAGCTTGCAGGAGACCACTTGCTTGAGCAAACTGGCACGAGCACACTGGCACTGGACTTGCACGAGCCACTTGCACCGAGCAACGTGCAGAGAGATAGTTGCACAGAGAACTTGCACAGAAAAGCTCGAACTTGCGCAGAGCGGTTGGAGCAGAAAAAATGAGCCGATAATTTGCGCAGAGAAACTTCGCAGCACAGACAGCTTGCAGAGAGAAACTTGCGTCGAAGACTTGTACAGACAAGCTTGTGCAGATAAATTTGAGGGAAACTTGGCCAGCAGAGAAACTTGCGAAGAGAAGTTTGAATCGATTGGACCAAGATCTTGAGCACAGAAACTTGCAGAGTGAACTTGCGCAGAGGTCACTAGCCCAGAAAACATGGATATATTTTTTTGCCGGTTGGGCTTCTATTTTTTGAGGTACATAATTTGGGGTTGGGAGAGCCCAATTTCCATTTTGCGGGGGGGGCCCGCAAACCTGTCGAAAGTCAATTAACCGCCAAGAAGGCCAAGTGTGTTTGTTTTCATTTTTTTTGAAATGGGTGGAACTCATTTCAAAATTTGAGGAACATCCTTGAAAGGTCCTTGACAACCCAGCAACTCGGAAAAGGGTGTGTTGTTAAGCTCTTTTTGGGCACAGCCGCCTCTTCGAAATGAGCAACCCACAAAAACCGCATCCCTTTAAACCCGGAAACGATCAGGCCCGAGGGTGGCCTGTTTGGTCAATGTGGTTGAAATGGGTCAGGTTTCCCTGTGGTTTGCCACGCCCCGTTTCAGTCAGCTCGGAGGTGAAGCCAGGGCACTGCCCTTTGGGGCCCGTTTCAGAGTGATGGTTTGTTTTTGCTTGACCCTTTTCAGCGGTCGCGTCGCGATCTGCTGGCGTCCGGTCACGCCGAAATGGCGGTGTTCCTGTTGGGCCCGCGGGAGACCAAAAAGCGGCCCTTATTTTGAGACCTGCAACCCTTGAAGGCCATCCAATACGGTCTCCACTTTTTGGTGACATCCAGATGACACAGTGGCTTTATGGTGGGAGCACGTTTTTCCTCCCCCTTGCCAATGAAACATTTGCTGCCTAGGTGGCGACATTTGGTGGGCATTTGTGCTCGGCAGGTCATAGACCCTGCGATCAATCCCGAGAAGATGGAAATGCGCCCAGGGGCGGCACACCAAACAAATGCAAAGCGCTTGAGGGGGATATGAGCAGCCTGCGGTTGGACATGACACGCGCGTTGTGATTTTCAAGGGCGCTGGGGGGGGGGGGGGGGTTGTTGTTTTCTCAGTCACTTTCAGGGGTGAATCTCTGCAAACAGAGCGACATAGGAGGTGCCACTTTGTCCATTTGCTGCCTGCACTTTGGGTATGGCCGCTGGCTGTTTATAGTTGCGGGGACCCATGATTGCAGGTCGTTTGAGTGGGAGTCTGCCTAATCAAACAGATCTCAACATGTTGCAGATGAAGATGCGTACCCCCGATTCGCCTGGACCCGACAGCACTTGCAATGCAATCAAACAATAATACATCCGCCGAGCATCATACCACACCCACGGCCATTCCTAATTTCCCAACTATTTAAGCTTTGGTTAGTTTTTTTCACCTTCCCCTCGTAGGTGACTTTCAGAGGTTTCTTTGGGGCCACATTTTTCTGAGGTCAGCGGGTACCATGGCATCACTTGGGGAGGCAGAATCCAATTGCGCCATTTGACTCGAACGACATAACCTTCTCACCTTTCGGAAACCGACAGCCCAACAGCTTTTTGACCCTAACCAACCTTCATATCATATAAGAAGTCAACTTGTTCAGGCTTGTTTTCTTAGGGTGTTCAAGGTTTGGATGCTTTCTCCTTTTCCCGACGCACATGTTGCACCCAACCCCTACTGGTTCTCAGGTTGAGTTTCACGTGTGCAGATGAACCGGAAGGAATCCCTGGAAGGGAAACCGCTCGTCGGATGGATCAGTTTGCCCAAGTCCTTGAAACCGACCGGATCTGACCTCTTCATCTTCCCGTTTTTGGTCCATAGTCGTTTGGTTCCAAAAGCTGACTTGCCCAACAGCCGACCTCTTTTAACCTTTTGGTGTCCCCTTTTTGCTTTTTCGTCGTGGCCCCAAAAGGTTTTTTCACCTTTGTCTAGGTCCCATGGGGGCAAGTCAGTTGTAAGAATTCCAGTTTGCAGTTCCTGCCCACCTTGGGCGCTTGGACTCTTGGTTCGCACCCCAGTCAATCATGCATGTCTATACCCCCCCCCCCAACCCCCCCCTCCCCGCCCCCCCAAAAAGAGGCTTAGGTTACTAAGGTTTGTCAAGCTATTGAAAACAAAGTAGGACCGTGTCAAGCCTTCTTGAAGTTCTTCTCCTTTCTGGAAGGTTGACAATGAGCCTAATTAAACGCAAGCTTTTTTTTGACATTGTTTGCCTCGATGAAGCTTTGTCAGAATTTCTCGCAGCAATGTGGTTTGGGAGTGTTCAAACAAGCCTTATCTATTTAGATGTTGCTTAGTGAAGCGGAGTCGTGTTTTTGCAGTTGTTTGGCAGCAGGGTTTAGCCATGATTCAATGATCTGGACGAAGGGTGTGTATTCCGGCCAGCCAGGTCATATCCATCCTTGAGCACGATCGATGAGGGAGGTCTTAGTCTACCAACCCCAGTTTCAGAGTCAGACGGACTGAATAATAGATCACTTAGCAATTGACGTTAAGCTTTTCGGGAGCATGCTTCAATGATTATTTTCCAATTCCTGTTAACAGTTACGTTTTGTTTTGCAGGAGGCAATCATAATTAGTCCAAGTAGCCATCAGACACATTCTGGCAATCGCTGCTTCAGCAATGGCAATGGAAAGTACTGATGCTGCTGCTGGAGAATTTGCCTCAAGGTTTTTCAATTGAGAAGGTACACACTGCCATCTTCGAGCGGCCTGACAGTCAGAAATTTGGGCGGGATCAAAGGTGGTGGTGCTTTGGGCACCACAAACTACAGAGAAGAAGGCGCACGTTTTCAATGAAAGCCGCCACTGCTGCCCACCCACCCACCCACCCACCCAACCCAACCCACCCCACCCCACCCCACCCCACCCCACCCCAACCCAACCCACCCAACCCAACCCACCCACCCCAACCCAGCCACCCCAAGTGTCTCACTTCGATACCCAGAAACCGAACCAAACGACTATGCCCCCCCCCCCCCTCCAGTCGGTCGCAACGAAGGCGAAAACAAGAAAACAACATCCACTCCAAGCGCGGGAGACGTTTCGCCAGGTACGCGGACCTGGACTCCCGCGGCGGCATCCTGGAGCCCCCGGGCATCGTGGAGGTGAAGTTCCGGCCCCCGCAGCAGGCGGCGAAAAGCGGGCGGAGCGCGGAGGGCCGTGTCTGTGTGTGTGTGTGTGTGTGTGTTTGTTTAGGGGAGCCAAAAGGACCATTTCCGTTTTGAGGGGTGTGTCCAAAAAAAAGAGACACAGCCATTTTGGGATGTTCTGTCCTTTGTTATCATTCATGATGTGGATGGATGCGAAATCCGCGAGTCTCGCAACACGAAATGAACCATCAGAATGTTTGGTGTCAGGGAAATCCACATTCCAGGTGGTGCAGAAATTCGTTCATCCACAGCAGGTCTGCCTATTTTACGGACGCGAGCGCTTCCAATTCCCGGGGGTATAACGAGCGAGAGCCGTGATTTTTTTGAGGTTCTTTGCATGGGGATCCGATTCTTTCGATTCAGGTGGTGTCTGTCTGTGGATGGACGCAATCCATTTCGCACCACTTGGAAGCCAGAACAAACCATGGTTGGTTGGTATTCACAGGGGAAGCATCATTTCAGGGATTCTTCGGTGGTGCGATGGTTGCGAAATCCATGCAACGCACCACCCAAGAAACCCCAGAATCAGTCGATTCTACTGTAAATACCGACAAACGTCATGGTTTCAACCATGGTTTTAAAGTGGTGCGAAACGGATTTCGTCCCTCCACAGTACTCTGTGGGTTTTCCGCGGGAAGGGACACGGACAACAAGTTCCACGGCAGAGTTTGAACAGGCCAGTTGTTTTTTGGTTTGGGGGGGGGCGGGGGGGTTGGTGTTGTTAGCTTTGTTGCTTTTGTATGCGTGTGCCAGGGGCTGAGGCGTCCGTTCCCCTTTCGAGGAGAAATTGCAAAACTCGGTGTTTGTTGTGTTTCGTTTTTTTGGTTTGAGGCGTGTCTGCCTTTTTTCCCTCCTCGCGAAATGGTGTGCGGTTTGTCAGTTCTTGCAGGGGCTCCGTCGATTTGATTCTCTGCTCTCCCCCCCCAGCAGCTCCCCTAGACACCGAAGGGCAAAGCCTTGACACCTCCAGGCCCATGCTTCGTTGCCAAGCTGCTTGCCCAAACCGGTGATTTGGAGCACAGGGGTTTGGATTTGCAGCCCTGGTTGTCATAGGCTCAAAACACCCTACTATAAAAGGAATTCGGTGCCTCCAGAAACTGGGAATTTTCTTTCCCCGTTGCAAGCCGGACGCCTCGGCTTCGCGGCTTGCTTCAGGGAACCCGCCAGGTTGGTTTGGATCGGTTTGGCTTGAAGCCGTTCGGTTCTTTGGCGAAATGATCACCAAGATCCAGCAGTCAGCTTCCCTCCTTTTCAACTGCCTCCTTTGCAGTTGGGGGGTTTTTGTTTACCCTCAAGGGTGGTTTGGAGGTGTTCCGGGCTGGTTTCCCATGTGCTTTCAAGAAATGTTGCGCATCCACAATCGCCAATCCAAACCCGAGCTGACGTTTCGCCTATAATTCGGCTGCTCCCCTGGGCCTGCTGATATTAATACCATGACGGACCTAAGGGAGACGAGCTATTCATTGAATCAAGCATGGCCATGAGTCATTTTCATGGTCACCTGACACAAATAGCCCAAACAAAATAACATCACAAGAAACAGCGGATTTTCCCATAGAAACCCCACCAGTTCTTAGCTTTTTGAAGAGGCTCGTTCCCAGCACCAAGACGCGAAGGCGCCTCCGCTCACCTCCGCTCACCTCGCGAGCGCCGCGCCGCGAGCGCCTCCGCGAGCGCCTCGCGCCTTCGGAGGTGGAGGCGATGCACCGCATCGACGAGAAGCTGCGGCAGCTGGACGCCCAGCTCCCCAATGCCCAGGCGGGCCGCGCGGACTGGGCGCGAGCGAGCGAGCGAGCGAGCGAAAGGAGGGGGCGAGGCGAGTCGGCGGGGGTGGGATGGGATGGAGCCAGGTCCGTTTTCTGGTGGTTTGGTGTTTTTGATGGCTGTTGGACAAACATATGTATATATATATATATATGTATATATATATATATATATATATGCTGACCGCCCCCAAGATGCACCAGACATTTATGTATATATATATATGTATACCATACGCATATCTCTATAGCAATATTGCATATATATGTATATTTTCAGTTGTGGTTAAGGAGCCCAACCTGTAGGGTAGGAGGTTCTCTAGTTGGGCGTTTTGTTTTGGGGGGTGCTCCCTGTTGGGTGGTTTTAAAGGGACACCACGAGGAAAACCTTTCATTTTTGGGGTACCTTCAAAAAAGAACACGCCCGTTCTTCTGGAGTTGGTACCTCGTTGGGTTGGACCATTTTGCGACCCCCCGCGCGAGGCACAGGTCACTTTGTTTCAAGTCTGCGTTGCTTAACCACATTCAACATGTGAGGCGTGCGCAGAACCAGTTGACAAGATTGGGGGAGGTATCGAGAACATTTCAACACGAAACAGGGAAGTCCTTTCTCCCAATGTTTGGAGAATAGGCATCTCAGACTCCTTACGGCGGTGCAACCGACGCGGCTCTCCTCACGGTTGTGGCTTCAATGAGAGCGGAGGGGTTAGACAGGTCGTGTGAACCTCTTTCCCCCTGTTGGCTTGAACATCACCTCTTGGTGATCTTTGAGTTTCCATTCGGTGATATTGAATGCGGCCATGTGGCTGTGGGTCAACACCAATGGTACCATTTTGGGGTAGGTGCACCACCCATTTTAGAGCCTATTTTAGTGGGGATCGGGATGTTCAATGGGGGATATGCGGGATTTTGACCCATGGCCATGTGAGGCTTGCAGATTGTCCTTTGCTTCGGTGCAGACCAGGGCCGCTTCACAGCCTAGCGCTAACCTCGCGCAGCCCTGCAAGCGGAGGTTACCACGGACCCTCAGGGCGATGTTGCAACGCCAAGCCATCAAACGCAAACCCCACACACAGGGGTTTCTCAATTTCCCCTTTTCAGCCTTTTGACCTCCGGTCCAAAAGTGGCGGTTTCCAACACCACTATCAAATTGCAACTTTTGGAGGGGAAATCCAGTGACCCGTGTCAAACACAGAAACCGCACAAGTTCTCCAACAGAATTTGGTCTCAAGCCCTAAACTCCTAAACCCAAGTGTGGGAACCAGGGCCTTAAGAGGTTTTTCTGAGGCTTTCTGAAAGGGATGCAGGTGTCCACCATCCCGCAGAAAAAAAGGGGGGCGCACGCTCAAGGCTTCTTGTTTGCATCACCAAGATTTAAGCCCAGGGGTTGAATTTTGAGGAAGTCAACCACTGGCTTTAAGTCTATACCCGCGGAATGAGGGTCGCGCCAGTTTTTTTCCGGCCAGGGCGACGAAAAGCAGAGCATAGAGAAGAACATCAAGGCCATCTGATCGGATCCGAGATGATTTCCGACTGAGTATCGCACGTTGGGGAACCACAAAACACCCACGATTTTGCGGTAATCTGCCGTGGCTTGGGTGTACTGTGCCACGTCTTGTTTGGTACACACCCATGAGTTTACTGCAAATTTCATGGTTTTGGTTGGTATCTTGGTTTACTGCACCGTCCCTTTGGGAATTCCCCCCGTTGGCTTGGACCTTGCCCCAAGTGCCGGACTTCCGGGCATGCCAAGCGTGTGTCTTTGCTACGGAACATGGCAGTTTCTCCACCTGATAGGCTTGAAGGGGGGTTGCCTCGGAGCCCTAAGGAACCCTTTGGCAACTCCAAGGAACCCTACTCTCAACTACCCACCCCCGAAGCCTCGTAAGGGATAGTCCCAAAATGGGTGCCTTCGCCGCCCTTTTACTTCCTTACCTGGTCTGGGCAGACCCTTTTTTAAGAGCAAGGTGTTGACTCACCTTGCCCAAAATGCACTTTTTTGGACAGGTCAACAAACACCAAGCCAGCTTCATTTTCTCACCAGGGAAGTGGACACAGGGCCTCAAAAAGAGAAGACGGGCGTCTTGCAAGCCATTGGGCCGTCCGCTTCCGTTGCCGGAAAGATGGCCGTGCCCAAATTTGTCAGGTCTCCAGGGGCCGGATGTTTCGACGATCATGTGGAGTCCGAAGGAAACTGCCATGAGAATGTGTTCCAACAGGAGGTGGTTTGTACAGGGGTCCTATGCTTCCCTTTTCGGGCGGCTTGCCAATCGAGGTTGAAGGGACAGAGAGCGCACAACGCCGAACAACGAACGACAAGGAGTTAGAACAACAACAACCTCAGAAAAGTAACTCTAAAGACGCCGAGGTGGTTTCACAACCTGCGGCATTCCGTTGAAAAAAGCCAAAGGGGTGATCCTGGATTTACTTGACCCGGGTCGCCTTGCAACAGCTGACCACGCTGCCAGTTGGACCCGGAGGGGCATAGGTTTCAAGATCCGATGGCCTGCGCTTGTGTAGGCTTCCCTGCCTTCTCCGGCTGACATTTGGTCTGCTTCTTTGTTGAATGGCGCGAACGCTTGGCAGGAGAAGAACTTCCCTGGTCTTTCAGGATAGCAATGTCATCCCTTCGGAGCAAGTGTATGTCCTGAAGGAGTGTCCCCCAGTCGATTGGCAAGGCAGTCGTCATTGCATGGGAGACGTACCGCCTCTGGTCGATACAGAAGGTGCATCACATCAAGGCTTCCCTGCTCTATGGCGTTCGTACATAGGCGGGTGTCACATTGTTTTGCGCACGTGTTGGAGAGGCCTGCCTACTTCTCAAGATCAGGTCCAGTGGACCCTCGGGGTTGCCAATCCCAGCAGATTACAAGGGAAGGAGGATGCGACCCTGAATCTTCAAAGAAGAATCGTCCGACCCCATACGAGGAGCTTTGTAGCCCCCGCCCTCCCCCCCTCCCCCGCTAGTGGCTTCTGATAGGCCCGGGAGAAGCAGCTGCCGGAGGCTGAGGAATGGCTTTCTGGAATGGTTGATAACTCTTGTAAGCATTTTCTTAATCCTTCTTTGTTCAAGTAATTTCTCTTGGTGGCTCGGAACCAGCCATCCGGTTCTTTAGTTTGTTTGGGGGTTGGGTTTCTCAATTTAACCCACTAAAAGTGTTCGACGTTTTGCAGGGGATCAGTTTGGACAGCCCAGTTCAGGATTCCGTTTTGGGATGGTTGACAAATGTTGAACGTAATGCTGCTGCGCAAGGGGAACGAAAGGGACCTGTCCAATTTGAGGGGAGGGTCGGTTGGGGGCAACCCTTCCTGACTTTCTTACCGGCAATAGTGTGGCAAGAGGCCCTTGTTGTTCCTCGCATCATTTTGGGTTGCCTTCCGTTGGCTGCGAAGGGACCGGGCGTACACGTTTTGTGTTTCCTCGGTGACCGCTGAGTTGTCCCTACTCGCGTGAGCCAAGTCATGCAACTCAGCTTTCAACACCTTTGGCTGTCCTGGCATGTTCACGTGACCAAAAAGCAACAACTGGGGTTCTCGATTCCATATCCTGACGTGGGCCTGGCCCGACTCCTTTGATACTCAATTTTTCTTTGTTTGACCGAAGCTGGGGCCGACTCGCATATCGGTTGCTTGGGTTGGGATAGAGGTGGTAGACCTGTGGCGTTTCTACCAAGAGAGCCAGAACCTCAGGGAACCTGACCCAACATTTTTTTTTTTGTGTGCCTCGACCATCACTCAAAGGGTTTACTTAAAGCTGATACGGGTGTGTCGTAAAACAAGGGAACCCCCCCCAAGGTTTCTCCCTGTCCGTGTCCCTTCAAAACGACCCACCAAGGTGCTGATGCTCGGTAGGGAATGACCTTCCGGATTTGGGACGAGGGATTCCCTTAAAGGAAACCAGAAGGGATGATTTTGTTTGAGGTTCCAACTCATTCCCTGAGAGCCAGCGAGAACAAGGTGCCCCGGTACCTTCGATGACTCGCCTCCATTTGGCTCAGCTTAGAAATTTGCATCGGGCTCCGTTGGCTGGGCCCCGAAGACCAACACCCGTGATAGAATTTACATGGAGCCAGCAAAAGGGGGTCCCCAAAAGGACTGTTTTTTAGGGGTTTCACTGGTGTTTTTTTTAGGTTTTTTGGTTCTCTTTATTGTTAGAAGGGTTGGAAAGGGATTCTTGTTCGTCTTTGGCGCGGGCGAAGAATATGTTGAGCTCACCCACCTGTCCAGGGTTTTGGCTCACCCACCTAGATGCCTCGTTGCGAATGGGTCTATTTTAAATAGTCCGTTCCGCCCTCCAGATCTTGCCCCATTTTGGGGTTACCCTGTCTTTGACAACAGCCAGATGGTGCTTGCAGTTTTGGATACAATGTTTTCCCCCCGAAACTTCCACTTGCTTAAGAATATGTTTTTATTTTCCCCTGTTGGTTTCAAAGGGAATCTATCACTGCTAGTTGTTTTTCTTCTTTTTGTTCTTCTTTCTTTTTTTTAAAAAAACATGTTTTCCAGGGGTCTTAACCAAACGGAAGGAAAGTGTCTGCATTCAGATGCCTCGCGATTTTCCCTTCCTTCACCAAAACAACGCTCCCGTCCGCGATGCCGGCGGCGCCGGCCACAGCCATTGGCCGCAAGGCCTCGCGGGCTTCGGTCGAGACTCGATTTGAGCGCCCAAACTTGGAACACGTGTAAGGCGCCTTCCGTTTGAGCGCCCGAAACGCATGTTTGCAATTTCGGCAGGTGGTTCTACTACCTGCTTTGGGGTGTGCGAAACGCATGGTCTATAATTATATATATATATACATATTTAATTTAAACCTTTGTCTCAAAATAGGATATACAACCCCCAGACCCTCGATTTATCACTTAACGCCCAGCGTCCATGAGTTGGGAGTTGGGACCCTTTTGGGGCCTTGAAAGAAAGACACCTTCATGTACGGGCCCGGGTTCTAAGACTCCAGAGATGCACGGTGGCTTTTCGGCTTGGATTGGGGCCTTATGTTCTGGAAATGTTCATATGCCAAAGCTTGCTTACCGGTGGAATAACAAGCCCCAATGAACCCAAAAACCACCTTCTGGCTTTGTCTCAAAATAGGGGAACACCTCCAACCGGGACGATTCCTTTCGGCTTCCCACCGAAACGCCAACCAACAGGGGACTTGTTTTTCCCCAAGAATCTAAACGCGCCCAGGCTCTGCGAAAACATAACCACAAAACACCCCCCCTTCCCCCCCAAAAAAAAAACACAAACAAACAAACAAACAAACAAACAAACAAACAAACAAACAAACAAACAAACAAACAAACAAACAAACAAACAAACAAACAAACAAACAAACAAACAAACAAACAAACAAACAAACAAACAAACAAACAAACAAACAAACAAACAAACAAACAAACAAAAACAAAAACAAACAAACAAACAAAAACAAACAAACACAGACACACAAGCAAGCAAGCAAGCAAGCAAGCAAGCAAGCAAGCAAGCAAGCAAGCAAGCAAGCAAGCAAGCAAGCAAGCAAGCAAGCAAGCAAGCAAGCAAGCAAGCAAGCAAGCAAGCAAGCAAACAAACAAACACACAGACACACAGACAGACAGACAGACAGACAGACAGACAGACAGACAGACAGACAGACAGACAGACAGACAGACAGACAGACAGACAGACAGACAGACAGACAGACAGACAGACAGACAGACAGACAGACAGACAGACAGACAGACAAACAAACAAAACAACAAACAAACAAACAAACAAACAAACAAACAAACAAACAAACAAACAAACAAACAAACAAACAACAACAAACAAACAAAAACAAACAAACAAACAAACAAACAAACAAACAAACAAACAAACAAACAAACTATCAAACAAACAAACAAACAAACAAACAAACAAACAAACAAACAAACAAACAAACAAACAAACAAACAAACAAACAAACAAACAAACAAACAAACAAACAAACAAACAAACAAACAAACAAACAAACAAACAAACAACACACAAACAAACAAACAAACAAACAAACAAACAAACAAACAAACAAACAAACAAACAAACAAACAAACAAACAAACAAACAAACAAACAAACAAACAAACAAACAAACAAACAAACAAACAACAAAAACAAAACAACAACACGCAGGCGCCGGGACTGCGCGCGCGGCGGCGCAGCGTGCATGGCCCGGACGGCCCGGGTCCTGGCCCCATGCCTTTGTCGAGCTTTTGGTTTCCCTGATATCCTTTGTTTTGGAGGCTACCCCCTTTTTTGTAGTGTTATTTTTTGAGGCTTTTGTGTAGTGTTAAGGAAAGGAGAAACAGAAGGAACCCCACCTTCTTGGTTTTTTTTGAACAATAGCGGACTTACATGAAGTCCCGGGCTTTTCCTAAGACATTTGGGATCAGTTTACATCATTGGTTCAGTTGATGAACCAAGAACACATTGAAATTCCTAGCTTTAGGCTTGGCCGTTGACCCAACTTTGGTGGACCTCAGGTCGGGGGATTCTTAATTCCCACAAACCCAGGTGGTTTCCTACAGTATTAACACTCGCAGCGGATTGTTCAAACGGCGGATGGATGCGCGCTCAGGTGATGGCGACAGCAGTGGCGAGGAGCGTGGAGCTTTGGGCAGGGGGGGTTCTCAAACGAAAAGTTGTTTGTTGGTTTCCCTTTGGCTTTCCCAACAAGGGGGACCTACGCAAAAGGCGGCGCACGGGTATGAGTGAAAATGAAACCACCAGGATATGGACCCAGGGGTTTCCACTTGAATCGATCTTTGACCCACAGGCACCTTCTTTTTTTTTTCTCGGTGGCTTCCATCTTTGCCTTGGCCAGGTGAGTTCTTGACAGTTTTTTACCTGGGCACAAGGGAACCCTTCGTGTGGCCACCCCAGGAAGTTTTTTTCTTAAAGCTTTGTCTTGAGGGAACCATGGCCGCGGAATGGCACATGTGCCACTTTGACCGGGGACGCAAAGTCGGAATTGGGGGAAGTTTGCTGCCTCAATTCGGAAGAACCAAGCTGTGTGGTTTCCTTTTCAGTTTGCTTCCAAAGCCAAAAGGGTCTTCCAAAAAGGGGCTCTAAATTTGAGAGCTTGCCCACTTCGAAGGGAAGGGGGGGGGCTTCGCATTCAACCGCCAGTTAGAGGGTATTATTTGGGGGTAGGTTGCTGTTTAGAGTCAGAGGGCAAATTTAGGAGGTCACTATTTAAGATGAATTGCTTCACCAAGATGGCTAGTGTTGACCCCATATCAATCAACCAACCAGTTCATTAATAGGGGGCTGATCCCCTCTAAAAGTGGTCTGATTCCCCACATTTCACCCGGGGAGAAGCACACCCCTATGAATGAACTGGTTGGTCGATTCATGTGGGGTCAACATCACGGCCATTTGTGTAATCTTGTCTCTTTGAGTTGGTCCCTCCCCCCCAAGAAAATAACATCAACTCAAAAAATGGGTGGTCTTGGCCCCTGAAGCTAGATGGCCATGGGTCAAAACCCAAATCGTACTCCCAGTGAACATCCCAATCCCCACTAAAATAGGTCCTAAAGTGGGTGGTGCACCGAACCCCCAAAAAACCCCTGGTGAACATCAAAATAATTAGGTGGCAAACCATCCACCCCAAAATGGCTCGCCATAGGGTTGATGCTTCTGGCTTCAAGTTGAAGGCAGGGCCATTCTCCAGGAGAAAACCGGACCCGAGCCTCCGGCGCGGCACGTGGTCATCCGCATGGATGCGAGGCCTGGACCAAAAATGCGACGTCAGTCGGGTGGTTTGGGTTTGTTTAGGGTTGGCTTGCGGTGGGTTTTTGGATTGGCGGCACGTGTGTGGGGCTCCAGCTGCAACCAGTGGAGTCCGCCCCCCCCTGTTCACCCCCCTCCCCTTTTTTTTCCGACTCTTTTTTTTGGGGAAGGGTTTTTTCTTTAAACTCAACCAACAAAACAAAAAAACAGGATGCCCTTTTTGATTTTTGCCCTGGCCACTGGGCATC